CCCCCCCCCTTTTTTTTTTTGGCAGGCCCGTGATTAAGGCTCAGACAGGAATTCGCAACTAATGTCTATAAGATCGATGCGAGGGTTACTCTCTCCAGAGCTTCCTCAATAGCAGTCCCACCCGAGTCATGTTGAATCACTCAGGTTGTCTTCTGTCGGAGAGGACGTTGAGGTTAGCGGCGAGAGGCGCCTGCGTGCTTCGGGCCGACACCATAGTTGTTTTTGCTAGAGCGGCGGCGCATCAGCAATTATATCCTCGATGCTTTTGCTGCGGCATCGTGGAAAGCAGCAAAGGGGGCACACTTTATGGGGGCATCGAGGCGACGACTTACATTTCGCGCTCCGCGACCCGCTTGGCGGCCGACGAAATCTCGTCAAAATACTTGTCGATCTTCGCTGCGTTCTTGAACTTAGGCTCGCCCTTGAAGCGGATGTAGCGAAGGTAAGCATCAACGCAGTCCTCAAGAAACACCCGGCGGGGAAATTGCTCGTGACAGTACTGGATTCCCTCGGAAATTACCCGCTGCATGCCAGAGGGCTTGGGCAAGGTCGGGAGCTCATTCCCGACTTTCAAATCGCACGCGTAACAGCCCTGTACTCCCGGTTAGTTCAATCGAGGCGGCGGTGTTTTGGGCCATCCGCATAGCAGGGGGCTCTCTGATGACGACGACGGCAAGGAAGACGAACCTCGCTATCCTCCTCTACGCAGCCAATGCACTATTTATTGCGCGTTAGCGTTTGACACAGAGCTCTTCCGTACGAAAGTTACTGACACGGTCCATGTCCCCGCATATCGTGTTGACACCCATCTTGCCAAAAGACTATAGTCATGAAGCACGGTTAGCTATATGTAATGTCCAGGTAGCCGGGTCTGCACTAGTGCACTATCGCCTGTGTCGTAAGCTCGGGGTTTGACTTGCATCATCTACCTGTTTTAACTTAGTTAGCTATGAAAAGCCGAAGTAGATCCATAAGGAGTGTATCAATCCCTCATACCGTATTTTGATCATAGCCAGGAATAAGCAGGCAGCGCATCTTAGAGGGGTTATTGCCCTAGTCATAGTTGCTGTATTAGTATATCTTGCTAGTTGTAGCCTGCTGTAAGCGGGCGCAATAATAGTGAGACGTACGACGAAGCAGGAATGCGCCTCCTTGCCGCTAGACTCCAGGGCTCCAATCTCATCTGGAGTAGGGTCCTAGGCTCGGTCAGCGACTATTCTTGGGTCTACATTGCATTAGCATTAGGAAAGGTGTTTAGTTACCCGACGAGCGGAGACCAGTCCGCAGGCGAGAGCAAGAGTAGCAATAGAGGCCTTCATGTTGGGCAAAGTTGGTAAATTATTTGTTGGAGTTGGGATTGTGAATATATTTGTGTTTGCGTGTTTGTGTTGAGTGTTGTAGCTCGTTGCGGCTGTGATGATGTGTTGAGAAGATGTGAGTGTTGTCTGGTTTCATCGTCTCTGGTGTAGGCGATCTGACCCAACCTTTATAGGAGGCCGTCGCGGCGCAGGTTCAAAAGCCTGTTGGGGAGGTATGCGCTGACCGACCGGACATGGCGAGAGGGTTTGATTCTTGATTCCTGCGCACTCGAACGTTTCGCAGAAGCATCACGGGCCGGCATGGCCGTAACTTCGCTGCTGCGCGAGCCACTCCAGACCGCCAGCCTGCGCCGACTTGCCACACACCGCGTTGTGAGCATTGGAAGTTTTGGAACATTCCATGGGAATTTGGGATGGGGTCGTCTCGTCATGCGTCGTTGGCGGCAGCTCCGAGGGTCCGCAATCCGCGGGGCCATTTACACAGGCTGGCCCCGTCTCCGCCTCGCCAGCTCCCCCGGTGCCGAGATTGAACCCGTTACATGCTCGGTATCCGTAATGCAGAGTCGTGCACCCCGTAGCGATCGTCTGATGTTGCCCTTGAGCGAATATAGCGGACATCCTCGGTCGTCATGCATTTCTTGCAGCGCATATAGAGTATAGTGATGCCAAGACACTTGGTGATGCGAGCGCAGCTGCCAGCGTTGCGGATTGATTTCCATTCATTAAGGTTTCGGGATTATTATGAATTACCCTATGTACGACTACTGACTGACCACATGCAGTGATGGGATTCCTTTGTTGCCAGCCATCTCCTGCTAAAGTGAAGCCTTTCGCGATAATGTTCATGTCCCGACGAAGCTCGATGACGTAGTGTTACAGAAGGTGCTCGCGACGCAACGAAAGCTCGCCGCCGCAAGACAAGGCTCTGTGGAAGGTAAAAAAGGCTCCCTGCAAATGAATGGCCCCCCGGCGGAGGGAAAACATCATCTATGGGCACTCAACCGGCGTCGCTTAGAGCCGTACGGCGTTGCTCACGCCTACCCACGCGCCCCAGGCCAGGTCACCTGCGGCGTCGGCTATTTTAGACTTCCGGCCCATCATCTTCTGGTCCATCTAGAACACTGCGACACTGCCTCAATCGCTTACCCGGACATCGCCGCATTCGACGACCGCCTCCAGCCTCACTCTCGACAGGCACGCGACATGCGCGTGGAGGCTCTAGCGAATGAGACGTGCTATTCGGACATCACCTGTTTTCCATTTGGACACCACAAGACGTGCCGGGGCCGCCAAAGGAGGCAAATATGGCATGCCGCAGTAGGGCTGGAACTGGCCCCCCGCGACGTGTTCGATTGCTGCTGCAGTCGCGCCGCCGCTTGGAGGTGCCTTGGCTCGTGGTGTCTAAATAGAAGACAAGTGATGTCTAATAGCACGTCTCGGACGGACAACCCATCCGCCACTTAACGACCGCCCAGGCAGGTACCCTCTAGACCCTGGACGCCAGCATGTCAGACCTCATGAGCCATGACAGCTAAAGACAGTGCCCCAGCCCGTTCAGGGACCGGCTCATCGGGCTCCCATGGCGCGCAGGCGTGCACTGGGTGAGGCTAGTTCATATCCCAGTGACCCCCGCAGATTCATAGCACAGTTGAGAGCAGGGAGTACGCCGGAGTCGAGACAAGACAAAGTAGTATTGAAATGAGAATAATCCGAGGTCGTGGCCCCCGTTGGCAGGCCCGCATTTAACTACCGCTCAGACGAGAATGCTTAACCAGTGCCTACTGCTATCGACGCACACTATCCCCTAGAGCTTCTTTTCTTTGACAATGGTCCTCGAGCCGTTCAGAACATTGCTCTGCCGTGGAGTACCCAGTCTCTCGATGGCAGCGGCGAGGGCCTGTACGAGGCCCAGAGCAGCAAGGGGCTCGTTGTTTCCGAGACAGGCTTCAAAATTCGTATCTGTGGTAGGCGGCGGCCGCGCATATCAGCAAAAGCGTCCTCGACTTCTTTTTCGTTGTTGCTGCAGCCCGGAAAGGCAGCGAAGGAGTGATAGGGGCGGCAAGCTAGCTAGCCATCGGGACCGGGAGGGCATGAGGGAACATTGAAGGGCAGGCAGCGATGGTAACGACGGGACTCACCCGGTGCCCTTGAGGCACTTGTTGACGACCTCTCTGGTTTTCTCTTCAAAGCCATCGGCAAACTGATCCTCCCCCTTGAGGGGCTCGGTGCACTTGTCGTAGGTCTCGATGCACTCCTGGGCGGCCGTGACGGTGTGTCCATGCTCTTCGTGGCAGAACTTGGCGGCCCACCGCATTAGCAGCTGGATGGGCTCGGCCGCGGAGACTGGCGGGAACATGTCCTTGTCCTTCGCCCCGCACTCGTAGAGGTACGTGCCCGGTTGCTGTTTCTCCCCCGTTAGCTAGGTCAGGAAATCAGAAGACGGCGAGGTTTTGGTTGGCCCGCGGGGAGATACGTCGGAGCGCCATCCGACGATGACGAGGACGATGACGATGACGAGGACGATGACGATGACGAGGACGACGAACCTGATCATTTTTCACGCAGTCGACGCACTACAGGATTGTCGCGTTAGCTTTGACTCAAACGGAGAGCTCTTCCTGGCACAAAGGACTGACATAGTCTCCCGGGCATGCCGACTCGATATCGACCGTGCCAAAAACCTGCAGTCGAAGGAAGCGCGGTTAGCTTAACGCCTGGGCGAACGAAATGTGCCACAGAGGCATCATCGCATATATCGCAGAGTTGGGGCTCGACTTGCTTCATTGGCCTATTTGCATTTGGTTAGCTATGGGGCGAACCATACGGGTAAACTAATAAGCGATGTTGTCAATGCCTCATACCTTGTCTTGGGTATACCCAGGAAGATGCAGGCACTGCGCCTTCATCACGTCGGAATCCTAATCGTCGTTTGCCATGTCAGTGTCTACTCCTGGTGGTCGCCGGCGCTTGTGCTGGCCGCCCATGATGATGACGATGATGCTACGTACGGACTCGCAGAGGTGCGCCTCCGTGTTGCTCTTCTCTAGCTGAAGAATCTCCTCCTTGGTGGTAGCCTAGGGCCCATATTGTTAGCGACTTTTACTCGAGGTTTCAACGCGCACAGTGGCAACCCGGTGTGTGGTTTGTGCTTACCTGACGGGCGGCGGCCAGGCCGCAAGCGAGAGCAAGAGTAGCAAAAGTGGCCTTCATGTTGGGCAGAATTTAAGAATTTCTTGTTGTGTTTTTGGGTGAGGAGGAGCGTTGGTGTGAATAAGTGCTTTGTGTAGCTGTCGGATGTGTCGAGAAGATGGCGCGTTTGGGTCTCTGTTTCCTCGTCTCTTGAGGGCGGCGATCTGACCGGGCCTTTATAGGAGGAGGCCGTCGCGGCGCAGATTTTCAAAGCGCGGCTTAGGAGGCATGAGCTGATCTGTCGGAGATCACGAGAGATTGAATTCATGCTGCTCAAGCGCTCGCAGAGGCATCATGGGCCGGCCGGCGAAGACATGAGGTCCTCAGTCGCAGGCCGCGAGTATTGGAATTCATGCCGCTCAAGCGCTCGTAGAGGCATCGCGGGCCGGCTGGACAGGCATGAGCTCATCAGTCGGAGGTCGCGAAAAGATTGGAATCCATGCCGTTCAAGCGCTCGCAGGGGCATCATGGACACGGCGTGGCCGTGTCTTGCTCCTCGAGCCAGCCCACACCGCTGGCACTGCGCCGACTTGCTTGACAACACGACGTTGGAATACGTGGCGCCTAGACTACCAGCACTGCGCTGAGTTGCTTGACAACACGACGATGTTGGGAAACATGGGAGCATCGGAACATTGGAACATCTGGACGGGGCCCATCTCGTGCTGCGCCGTAGAGACAGCTCCGGAGGTCCGCCGTCCGCGGGGGCCATCTACCCAGGCTGGCCGTCACCGCCCAGGCCTGGGCCCCCTCCAGTGCCGAGATTGAAGCCGTCATGTGGCTCGGCATTCGCAAGATGAAAGCAATGCAGGGAATCGCCTGATTCCCCCTGCCCCCTGCCAAAATGTAGTATGCATATGCCGGGCCCGTCGGCCTCGTCATGTCTACTACACTGCGACACCGCTTCAATCGCATACTCGTGCATCGCCGCATGGCATGAACGCTCTAGGCACTCCTCATCATCTGGACGCTCACCAGAGCTCACGATACGATGGAATGGAGTCACCATGGACGGTACCCGCCGTTCAGGGGCCGGCTTGTCCCCCATCGAGCGCCTTACCGCGTCCACCTCGCATACACGGCACCGAAATGGAAGTTCAAAGCGAAGGAAGAAAGCCATTTTGAGTCATTATCGTCGACCAGGCGCACCGCAGCACAGGCAGGCTCCTCCGTTCTACCTACAAACAAAGTCGAGGGCCTCGTCTCCCCGATTCATCCACGGATGCGTGCGTACATGGTCGCCTCGTCCATGTCCCTGTGCTGCGTCGACCCCATCCATCCCTCAGTCCTCGCGTGATCCTCAGGTAGCACTGCCAACTACCCCAAACGCCGTGACGCTCGTCCCCCGTATACAATCTCGACAAGCCGTGTGAAATCGCGTTTAGTCCTCGTCGCCAATCTGCGTTTGTAGTCAGCATCTATCCTTTGATGCGGCGATGGTCTCGCAGTGCCCGTCGTCACTCACCTTGGGGGCCAGGTAGAAGCGGAGGTAGCTGCTGCCCGACAGGTTGTACTCAACCAGCAGCGGCACCTCGCTCGACAGGCAGATCTTGACCTGGTTGGACAGGGCCGCCGCCTTGCAAAAGTTGACCAGGTACTTGAGCGAAAAGGTGAGCGTCACGGGCTCCGTCAGCTCAATGTCGACGTTGAGCTCGGGCTTCTCGACGTTGGTGTGGCTGCGCAGCGTCACCGAGCCGTTGCCGATGTCGCCGTTGCACGAGAACTTGACGCCGTCCTTGGACGCCTCAATGTTGACTGCCACAGTGTCAGCTTTTCACTCCATATGAGGGCCAGGGGATGGGGTTGTGTCGCACCCGACTCGGACATGGCGGCCAGATCGGTGCAGATTCTCCGAAACTCAGACGCGGGCATGGCAATGGTGGCCGCGTACTCGGTCTGGGGGATGCCGAGGTGCTCCTGGTCAATGTCCATGAGCTTGAGGTCGTACTCGCTGATGCGGTCGTTCTCGCTGCTCTCAAAGACGAGGTTGAGGACGTCGGGCGCGTCTTCGGCCTTGAGGGTCAGGATGTCCTCGTTCTGGGCCGCCCGCAGCACCTTGGTCAGCGACGTCAGGTTCACGCCCAGGGCGATGTTGCGGTCGCATCGGTAGGGCGAGAAGCCCTCGGCCTTGAGCATCATGGACACGAGCGCCACGTGCGAGTTGTCCATGGCCTGCAGCGCGATGCCCGAGTCATTGCAGTCAAAGTTGCAGTCCTGGACGAGGTCCTTGATGGCGTCGACCACCTGTCGCGGGTCAGCACGGGGAGCACGAGGGAACTGTCGCGTCGCGTCGGGCACGCATCGTGAGCATTGGGGAGGCACCTTTTTCAGGATGTTAGCCTGCTCGAGCCGTGCCTCCAACATGTTTGCGTCTGTGTCTGTGTGTCTTTTTTGCCGTCGTCAGCTCTCGGGTTGTGCCCTGGGGCCCGTGGGCCACGCAAGGAGGGCATCACGAACCTTGGGGAGAGAAGAGGTGCGTGAGGGGAAAGGGCGGTGACTGTGCGAGAGACAGAGAGGGGACAGTCTCTTGCGGAGATGTGTGACGGCGGGAGGAAGGTGACCGCGCAGAGATTGACGAGAGAAGGAGTTGCTGGGCAATGAGCCGAGATGTGTCTGTGGTGTTTGTGCAGGTGCGTGCGTGCAGTGTGCGGGAGGGAGAGAAAGTTCAGAAGCACTTAACGCGCGTGCACGAGAAGCTGTGGGCGGCCAGACGCGTCGCGGCGGGGTCAGGGAGCTCCCTGTGACGCCAACCTTACGCGCGGGGCAGAGACCAGCGGCAATATTGGGGCTTGCCAGACGTGTCTCCCAGGCAGTGCAGTGAGGTGTGCACAGGGGCGGGGCGGGGGCGGCCAGCACCTGAAGACGTGGGCGGACGCGACCGTTGGGTGGTGGCGCACCGTCCGCCCCGCTCATCCTCTGGAGCTCACTTCACCTGGCAGATTGGCTCTGGCGGCGCAGGCTCCAACGGGGAAGTGCTGGCAGTCTAGTCTGGAGGCTCCGGCTGGCAGCATAACTCGCGGAAAGGGGATGGAGAGCGGACCTGAAACCTCCAAAAGGAGGCTCCCCCGACAGCTGACATTCAATCTTGACCCCTCTATAGTACCGAGGAATTATCGACAACTCAATGAAACATTGTATACCTGAGTGAATGTATGTATATGCTCTTGCAACACGGCAAATGCCAGTCAAACGCCCCGTCGCACTGAAACACCTCAAGAGCAAAACTCCGCGTAACCCCCTTAGAAACGCTGGAATATCCCAAAACAAAAAGTCAGGACAGGTCCCGGAATCCTCGTACGCCTGTTGGTGTTTTGTACAAGGTAGGTCGGCCCACACTCTCACATCGACACCCGTCCTGGAGCCGGGGTGCTGGCCCGGTTTCTCGGCCGTAGGTTGATGACCGTCTCGAGCTCCCGCAACATCCCCCTCGTCGCGTCCATCTGCTGTCTGGCTAGGGCCTTCTGCTCTCGCTCGTCCTTCATCTTGGCGATGCGCTCCTCTCTTGTCAGCAGGCTACGCGGCCGCGGAAGTGCCACCGCCTCGAACACCTCGGGCGTATCGGGCTCCGGCGCCTCTGAGCTGGGCGGCGACTCTCCCGTCAGAGCCTTGAGCGCGTCCGCCGTGCCGCCCTCGCCCACCGTCGTGAGCCCGCTGAGCGATGTCGTCGGCGAGAGGGCTGTGCTCATCGACGAGAGCCTCTTCTCGTTCCTATCGATGCCGAGTGCCAACGCCGTCTTGCCCTCTTCCCATGCCGCCATGAGGTCCCTCAGGTCTACCCCGATAGACTCGTACTGCGACATGAGGTTCGGCCCCAGCTCCGACACGTCGTTGGAGTCATCTAACGCCCGATCCGACTCTTCCCGTAGGAGATGAAGTTTGGCCTGCAGGCCCCTGATTCCCGTCGACAGCGAGTTGAGCTTGCGCAGCTGCGAGCGCCAGCGTTCCCTGTTTGGCGTGAGGGGTATCTTGGGTGTGGCTGGGACAGGGAAAGCTGCATCATGAGTCAGTTTCGATCGCAACGCGTCATCGACAGAGCCAGACTCACACTCCTCTTCGCTCAGGATAGACTGCATCTTGAGGTACGACTCCTTGGTCGTCTTGTTCAGGCTGCGGAGCGATTCGACTGCCGTGCTCCACCGGAGCAAGTCGGTGCTCTCGCCATTGGCGTCAAAAGCGAGCAGGGCGCAGAGAAGCATCTTTCGCGTTGTGTGGAAGCGCGCGGCCAAGATTTTGAGCGTGCGCAACGACTCAGGGTCGTCGAACTCGTCCTCGCTGAAGCCCTGGAGCGCGTCGGACATGTCCAGGTCGGTGACATCGTACATGTCGTAGTACTTTTCCAGCTCCGTCTGCTCCGAGAATGCCCTCACTACGGATGAAATGTGGTTGTATGTCTTGAGGGAGTCGCCCAAGGCGCTCCTGAGTGCACGTCGCAGCCGCACGCATTTCCGGCTCTGGCTGCGGTCCTCGAGGCGGCTGATGGGCGGCAGGGGTGCCGTGCTGCGTAAATTTAGTATGGTGGCGCGACATGAGAACAAGACGGGCGGCCACGAACATTCGATATCCCCGCGAAACCAACTCCACCTCCTGTACCAACGACAGGGTTGCCTCGGTTGCGCTGTCAAAGTCGTGCGAGTTTGTTACAAAGGCAACCATCTCCGACAAGGATTGTTCGCGTCGGTATCGCAGCCACTGGCGCTTCATGTAGACCTGTCCGACAAAGCCCGAGGCTGCGAGCAGGGCCACCAGCACTGCCAGTCGCTTCCGCGTCACGTAGGATTTTGTGCTGCCACGGAGCCAGCTCAGCACTACAGCGACGGCCAGAGCCCCAAGGATCGACGCTGCGATGCCTTCGGTCGATAGCAGCGCTTGGCTCGACTCGGTCGTGAGGGCGCTAGGTTTCGAGGTAATCGAGGCGCGGTGGCTAACGATGGAGTGGCCGCTGAGCAGCTGGGACGCGACGATAGTGTAGCGAAACTGCTCGAGGAACTTGGCATTGTCGGCGCGATCGATGCTTGCAACTACCGCAGCCTGCTCGACGAGTCAGCGCCTCTCGGGCTTGGTGGCGGTGTCGGGCCCAGAAAGAGGGGGTGTAACATACAGAGCAGTTTCGCCTGAGCGTCCGCAACGTCGAAGACCGCGATGCCGTAGACAAGGCGCCAGGTATCGCAGAATGTATCGCGGGCGGCGCTGCGCTGCGAAAGCGAGGCTTGACGAGCGGCCGGCCGGTGGGCGCAAAGGGCGAGGGGCTGGCGGGCGGTGAGGACATTGAGGAGCCGCATCGCGACGACGACGGACGCGGCGGGGAGCTGTCGACGGCCGCCCAGTCGACGTCGGACCCTTCTCCTCCATCTGCAGCGACGTTAGCGATAAAGACCGCTGCCGGCTGCGCGGGGACGGCGCATGCGCACCTTTGAGATACTCGGCCAGAGGCGTCTCATCGTAGACGACGGGCTCCATCACGGCGAGTGCTAGAGAGCGGGCAGAGCCATGGAGCGCCGGCGCGCCAGGCCGCCGCGAGCTGCGGGATTGTAACTAGGTTCTGCAGCAACAAGAAAGACACAAAGGAGAGGGGGCAGTATGTATGCCGTAGAAAAAGGAAAGCCGCGGAATGCGTAGGCTCTGCACCGTGTGAGCGGATGCAGGTTGGGAGCCAAGGTGATGTACAGAAGGAAGACGTGTGCACTCGCTCAGGGGATGAGGGATTGTTGCTTGCAGCCAAGTAAATCGACGCCATGGCCCAAGGTAGCCGGGCGCTCACAGGGTTTCCGGGGTGGCGCGGCAGGGATCCGTGGGCACCGTGGGCACCGCTACAGTGATCGACCGGAGATTGAGGAGCGTTTTGGGGCGGCTTGGGGGGCTTGGGGGCGCTGCTCCAGCGAGCGCACGGCACCCCGGCGGGGGCTTGCAGCGGTTTGCACGCGCCAGCGCTGGGGTCGGGTGGCCGCCGCTGCGGTCCGTCGCCCGGCGCCAAACGGCAGGCAGCCCGCCTTTCTGCAGCGAGGAGCTCAGCATGTGACGCCTGTCGCCCTGTGCTCCTGCCGCTGGGTCGGGGAGTCGAGCGCCCACATGGAAGGAAGTACGTACCTACCTTAGTAACCTGCCCGGCCTCGAGTTTCTCCGGCTTCCGGCAAAACACCTCCTGCGTAACCCAGCTGCTCAACCGTTGCTTCCAATTGACAATTCCCCGAGACTGCGAAACGCAGCGCCAGCCAGCTTCGCCCGGCCAATCCGACCACATTTCACGGAAACCTCCACTGTCATGAACACGCAGTAATATCCTCGAACATCACCGCCCCTCCGCTCGCCGCCAATGCCCGTGCGGTCTCCGGCGCAATGCCGGCGCACCGTCTCGAGGCGTGCGACCGCCTCGAGCCAGGTCGGGGTCTGGGTCACAGACTCCATGCTCGCCCAGGCCATTGAGCAATACCACCGAGCCGTGCTGCCACCATGCAGACGACATCTCAACTCCCACGCGGGGCCTCTAGAGAGCCGTCGTCGTGCGAACAAGCGACACATGACGGGCCTCATGCCTACCTCGTCTGCCTTTCCGCCTATATGGCAGTTCGACGTGCCGTCATCGAGCATACCTCAATGGGAGGCGCCCACCGCTCCATCGTACCGGCGACAGAAGAATAAACAGCTCAGCGTCTCCGGGCTATTCAACAATCTCATCGGATGGCTCGAAAACTCGGGTGCAGACAAGGGCCCCGTCCCACCCATCGCAGACTCTGCGGCGGCGGGCGTGGTGTCCATGGAGGCTCTCGCCGTGAGTGCTGATGCACCACTTGACCTGACACCCGAGGACAGGTTGCGAGAGGCAGCGCCGCCGCATGATCTTCCCACCGAGATTGCGGAGCTACGAGCCCGTGTCTGCGACCTTGACGAAGCCACCGAGGCGGCCCTGTATCGATTATGCACGACCTGCCGACGTTCACTGCGACGAAGGATCGAGCGCGGCGAGCTCACTGTCGATGGCCTGGTCCTCGCTCTGGACCCGCTTGATTTGGCAACGAGAAGCCGGATCCCATCCGTTGCGACCGCGAACAAGATGGCTGCCATGCTTCGTCGTACAATTGTGTCGGCCATGGCGGATGCTCAGGAGCGAAGCGAGTCGGCGGTTGCCCCTGAACTGTGGTCGACATTGGCGCATCAGATTTGCGGAACAAACGCCGACAACCACGATGTCCAGCTATTCTGGCGATTGATGGATGTGATGCCGCCCTCCATGCGAGCGAGAATTCCTGCAAGTCAACTCGCCGCATTTACGCATGCCTTTGTCGCAGCCCAGGCCAACCGCCATAACCTGTTTTCGCACTGGTCGGCTCGGGCAGCAAGGTTCAGCAACGCTCTACAGAAACTCGACGACACTCAGCGCCAAAGCCTAGACGGAGTCATGGCGCGATACCTGCAAGAGCAAGACTGGGTGTCAGAGATGGCCCGCCGAATGCGCTTTGCATGGCTCATCGTCAAGGCCTACGATTCAACCGCCACGACTCAGCAATTCATCAACTCATACAAGGCTGCGATAGAGCCAGGTATGCGGTTGAACAGCATGCAGCTCTGGCAGCTCCTAGCAGCCAGGCTCGTCGCCACCGGGACTTTGGACGGGGACCAGGGCAAGGCCTTGATGGAGGCCGACTACAGCGCCATGAGTCAGCGCTGGGCACGGCTGGTCTTGGCCGTCCTGGCGTCGAAGAACCGAGACAGCGGCCTGCGCGAAGTTTGCGCCTGCTTGAACGGCATCGGGGAGTTCGACACGGCAGCCCAAGCCCTCACATCCGCGCCGATTCGCCACTTACGCATGGATGCCATACAAGCCGTCGCGGCGGCTTGCCACGACCACAACCAAGCAGTACAACTGTTCGAGGCCGTCGTGCTCAAGGAGGGTTCGCGGCAGAAGGTCGGGGCATGGAAGTGGTCCATGTGGTCTGCGTACGTTGAGGGCATGATCAAGGACCCCAAGATGGATCCCGCGCGCATCTGGCAGGTCCTCAACCTGCGACACTCGGCCAACGGCAGGGACGCGTGCCCCAAGGCTGCTGCCGGCGAGGTCAAGGCAAAGACGCAGCTGCTGGACCAGATGGGCAAGTGGTTCATGGAGGCGCCGCACCTCAACGACCGGCAGGTCCTGCGCCAGGTTCAACGCTGCGTCGCCTCCCAGCGGGCGCTCACAAACGGCGTCTCGTCGTGCACGCTGGCCAACGTCGCAGAGCTCATCACGCGCGACCTCGAGAAGGGCGGGCGCGGCCGCACGTCGCGCATGCGCTGGCTCGTTGGCATGGTCGAGCAGACGCACGGCGCGGACGGGGCCAAGAGGGCGGCGAAGGCCCTCCAGGGGTGGCGGTGGACGATTGACCGCTCTCGCAAAGATGGCGCTTAGACAGGTTGCCGTGGACGGGTCTCGATGGACGAGTTCTAGTTTTTGTGGCCATGTAGTTCGGTCTGTTGGTTAGATACCCGATCCGCCGGATCGAATATAGAAGAAGAAGCAAAGCAATCAAGACATCATCACGTCGAGTCACACTGCACAAGCACAGAAGTCATGATTGAAGGCACACCACGTCCTTGCCCATTCGTCAAAGCCAAATAAATACCGATCAAGTTCTACTACGTGCATAACAGCATAACAGCCTTTTTTGATAACGTACAACCATGAAAACAGACAGACAAGTTTTCTTTCAAAAACAACATCGACAGGCATAAATCGTAGCTTCCAGGTAGACGGAAGCGTTTCAGACGCGGTGCAAAGCAGACAAAAAACGTCAAAAACATCGTGACCGTAAACCAAATCCTCTCGCGGATATATCATCATCAGGCTCTTCGCTCGTCAATGCCCCCCACCCGCTATTTGTACCAACGCTCCCCCCGTCTCCCCCTTTCCCTGTGGTATACACACTCAAATTGTATGTGCGTCATCGCTGACCTCCAGAAGAGTAATGCCTGGAATTGCCCCTTTTGTTTCCCCGGGGTTTGTGCCTGTATGTTCCCCGTATGCCGTGCGCCCCTAAATGTGTGTGCCGCCGTTTCGTGTGTGTGCGTGTGTGTGTGTGCCTTGACGGCCCTTCTAGATGCCGCCCTCCATGTAGTCTGCCTCGGTGCCCATGTGCTCAGTCACGACGCTGACGCGGCTGGGTGCCCCGAGGGAGGCCCCGCCGGCGTCGCTCGATGGCGTGAGGTGCCGCTTGCTCTTGTCGCGGGCGATGAGCACCTGCGCCGGGCAGACGACGATCTTGTCCTCGCCGACGCCGGCGTCGTCGCCCCGCTTGACGACCAGCGGGAAGAGCACGATGCGGACGATGGCGCCGCGCGCCTCAAGCTCCTCGTTGGTCTCGGCGGTCTTGCCGCTCCGCTCGTTCATCATGGACGCATCGAACTGAACGGTGGCGGCCAGCTCGCCGTCGGCGTCGTACTCGGGCTGCAGCGGCGGCAGCATCATGTACTCTGCCCGCTGCGTGCGCATCTCGACGGAGAGGTCCACTGCCTCGCGCATGACCCGGCGCAGCTGCGACTGGATCTGGTCCTCCAGGTTGCTGGGAGGTGGCAGGATCTTGCACAGCGTCTGGAAGATGGCTTGAACGACGGCCTCGGTGTCGAGGTCCCGCTGGGACTTGAAGTTTTCGCGCCTCGAGAGCAAGGTCAGGGTTACGGCGCGCCATTGCCGCACGGCCTCGGAAGGGCCGACGTCTAGGAGCAGCTTCTCGAGCGACTTGAGCTTCTGCCGCTGCTCGCGATCCATGCCGAACAGGTATCGCGTAAAGACAAACTCCCAAATCATGTTCATCGTCATGGACATGAATATGTCGCGGCGCTTGACGCGGTCGTTGAGGTATGTGTCGACGTCGGAGCCGTCGAGGACGGCGTTGTCGAGGCGATCAATGGTCTTTTCGTCGTTGATCTCGTTGGTGAGGCGACATGCGCGCATGTCGGAGAACTTGGAGAAGCGCAACACCCACTGCTGGACGTGTGAGCAAAGCTGCTGGCAGCGGTTGTCAAAGTAGTCCTCGTCCTTGATGTCGAGGAAGTGGGCGTCGGCAGCCTTGGAGTCGAGTATCTTGCGCTGCATCTCGCGGATCTGCTCCTTGGCGGCCTCGAGCTGGGCGCGCAGGTCGGCAATCTCGGCGTCCTTGGCCTGGAGGGTCTCGTCGAACCCGGTGTGGGCGCCGCGGGCCTCGTCCAGCTCGCGCGACACGGTGGCATGGCGGACCTCGAGGTCGGCGTAGCGGGCGCTGTTGTCCTTGGAGGCGAGCTCGGCGTTGGCGCTGGCGAGTCCCTCATTGACCTCGGTGAGTCGGTTCACTTCGTTTTGCAGGAACTGCAGGCTTTGCTTGAGGGCCTCAATCTCGGCGTCGCGATCTGATAGCACCGTGGCGGCGCGCTGGCTGAGGTTCTGCTCGGCGTGGGCGCGGGCTTCAGTCAGGGCTCGGTTGTCGTCGAGGAGCTGCTGGACGCGGGACTCGAGCTCGAGGACCTGCATGCTCTGGCGGCGGCGCATGCTGTGCGGCCTGGTGGGGGACCGCGGCGAGCCGATGCGGCCCTCGCCGTAGCCGTCGAACACGTCGGCCATGTCCTTGTCGCCGTCCCGGGTGGAGGAGCGGACGCGGCTCTCATTGGCGACGGGCGGCGGCGGGGGCGACGTCGACGACGACGATGGCGACTTGTCCTTGCGAAGCTTTGATGCCGAGGAGGACGAGGCGGCGGCGGCGGCGGCGGCGGCTCCAAGTGCGGCGGCTCCCAGTCCCAGGGCTGCAGCAGCATGGGCGGTGGTTGGGGTGGAGCTTCGGCTGCCGCCAGCAAGGTTGCTAGAGCTGCTTTGTTGACGGAGCGCGCGCAGGTCACCGCTCATGCGCTTGTCGACCCGGCGGAGTGGGGGCGTTGGCGTGGCCGTCGCCCGGGTGATGCCTGGACTCTCAGGCCGCAAGCGCAGTGGCTCGGGCGTCCTGTGGCGCGAGAGGCTGGTGTTGGAGGCGGACCGGCGCGGTTCGGCCCGGGGCGAGGGGCCCTGCTGTAGGTCCAGCTGGCGCTGGTGCTGCTGGTGCGCCGCCATGGCCACGCCGTCGCTGACGCTGCGGTCTTTGTCGTTGTCGCTCTCCGCTGCGCGCCGTCTCGGAGCCGCCAGGCCCCTGCTGCTGCTCGCGTCTCCGCCCAGCTCGCCGTAGCTCTTCTGCGTCCTCCGCAGCCTCTTCTCCGGCTCCGGCGTCGCCCCGGCGTGTCCGACGGGACCTCGAAGCACCGGCGTGTCGTCTCGAACCAACACGGGCGTCCCGTACGGCGAGTGTCGCGATCGCTTGTCGTGCGGTGGCTCCGGCGTGCGCGGCATCGCGCGCGGCATGCCCTCGGTCCAGTCGCCCGTGTGCACGCCGCTGTCCCGCTGCTGCGCCTCCTCGTCGCTAAACAGATTGCTCCGTCGTCTCGTCGGGTTGGGTGACTCCGCCGCGAAGCCGCTGTCGCGATTCATCTCAGGCGTCGGCCAGCTAAGCTTGGTCGCTTCGTCCTCGGCCTCGGGCACCTCTTCGACCGCAGGCAAGGCACGGGTTGGCGATCGCCGAAACTCGCTCACCGCCGGCGACAGGCTCCCCAGCCTTGCCTCTTCCTCCTCCCGCTCCCTCAGCAGGCCCCCTACCGGCTCCTCCACCTCGGATCCCCGCCGCAACAGCCCAACCGGCTGCGGGCTCATTGAGCCCATCTCGCCTCGCCCGAGCACTGGGCTCTCCGCGAATTCATCGTCCAGCCGAGCGCCCTGTCGTGCAGTCTCCTTCCAGCCACTCTCCGACTCCGTGAAACTCTCGCTCATCGCAGTGATTGGCACTTCCTTGGCCTTGCTCGGCTCGCCCACCTCCACATTGCCTCCCGCAATCGAGTCTCCCATGATCGCTCCCTTGTCCGCCTGCAAGCTCTTCTTGTCTGCACCCTCCCACAGTGCCGGGTCGTCGAAAAGATCGTCCTCTTGCTGCTGTCGCTTGTCCACAATCTTGCTCTGCTTGCCCTTCTTTTTCTTCTTGCCGCCTCCAAATCTCTCGGCCAAGAGAGCCACCCCGCCGGACAGGGCACCGGCTGCGGCAGCCACGTCCCCGCCACCTGAGCTTGATCGCGCGCGAGAATCATCCTTTGTAGACGTAGCTGGCACATCTCGCGACGATCCCTCGCTCGCTTTACTTTGGACGGGGAACTCATCGCTGGCAAACGCGCTCATATCCTGAGCTCGCGCCGAGTTTCCAGGCAGCCTAGGATCGCTCTCCCAGACATCATCAAAGGCATTCGCCCCGGACTGAGTAGCCTCATCGTCGGCAGTGCCGCCGGTCATGTCCTCCATTGCATCGAGGGTGGGTTGGTCAATCGGCATGATGTCCTTTGCCGAGGCCTCTTCCATTGCTGCAGGTTCTTGGGTCGGGGCTGTGCGAACGGGCGGCGCTTCGACGCCCTTCTTGCCCCTCTTCTTCTTGGATTTCGTCACCGAGACCTGCGACTTGGGGACAGAAAAGTCATCGAACCAATCGTCAGAAGCCGGCTGGTCTCTAGAATCCCCTTCGACCGCAGGAATGTCCTCGACGATTTCCCGCGGAGCTTCCTCCTGGACAGGAGCATCGTCGCGTAGAGTATCCAGCACCATGACTTGGCTCGACTTTCGCTTCTTCTCCTTCTTTGACTTCTTTCGTCCAGGCGTCGCCCAAGTGTCTTCGGGGCTGGCCTCGACGGGCGCCGCCTCCGGCTCGGCTATGATAGGCTCCGGTTCCAGAGCACCCGTGGGCTCAGAAGAGCCTCCACGGGCATCCACATCCATGCCGTCATCGGCAGCCGACTGCTCGTGTTCTGGTTGCCATTCCATTGCAGCAGGCTTGGCTTCCACAGCCTCGACAGCTGCGGACGAAGCGACTTGGCTGTCCTCTACATTTGGCGTCTCTGGCTGAACCGGCTCCACTGGTGCTGTAGCAGGCTCGTCGAAGGCGGATAAGGGAATACCCTTGTTCTTCTTTCCCTTGCCCTTCTTTTTCTTTGACGGCATGGCCCATTCGTCCTCGGCCTCCACGGGAGGAGTAGGCTCCTGAATAGCTCGCGATTCCTCGGCCTCCAGAGGCACATCAACGGGCGTGGTCTCCTCGGCAGTGGCTGCCTCTTGGCTAGGAAGGGCACGATCCTTGTCCTCGGCGGGGGTGTCGACAACGGCTTCTTGGTCATCCAAGGCAACCACTGGGGTCATGGAGCCACTGCTCGACTTGCCCTTCTTCCCCTTCTTGCCCTTTTTCTTGACTGGGAACGCCCATGCGTCGTCGGCTGTAGCTTCGTCGGCTTGAGCTGGTGCTGAAGGTTCAGAAACTTCCGCGAGAGCATCAGCGTCTTCTCGAGGAAGTGCCGACTCGGCCACCTGGTCAGGCATGAGGAAGTCATGAGTAGAGGCGTGGTCTTCTGGTGGTGAAGGTGCAAAGGCGGCTTGTTCGACTGGGGGTTCCAGAGCGTCAACGACCTGAGCGTCCGACTGAATTGGCGAGTCCGAGGCAGTGGGCTCAGCGACCTCCTGAGCTACTTCAACAGGCGGCGACTCTGGAGGCAATTCAGGCTCATTGGCAGGCGTTGCGATGCCGCTGCTCTTCCGACCCTTCTTGCCTTTCTTGCCCTTCTTTGTCGTAAATGCCCAGTCATCGACCTCATCGGCAGGCTGGGGTGGTTCGGGAACAGCTGGCGGCGGGTCGGTTGCCTCTGGAGCCGCTTCGCGAGTTTCCTCGAGCTCAGCTTGCGGCACATCTTCAGGCAATTGCTCCGGCGCGGCGGCATCTGGCATCGCCGCGACGTCGGGTTCGTTTGCCGGTGTCAGCGTGCCACTCCCCTTGGCCTTCTTGCCCTTCTTGCCCTTTTTCTTGACAGGCATGGCCCATTCGTCTTCCGCTTCGGCAGGTGCAGCGCTCTCGAAATCCCGCGAAGTTGTTTGAGGCTCGATGTTGTCAACCCCGCGGCTCAACTCACCGCCAGTCTCCATGCGTTGGTCGTCTGCGGCTGCAGGGTCCGATTGTTGCTCCGCTTCGGAGGTTGGGACGGCCTCGGCATTGAGCTCGGCGGGGCCGAGACTCGCTCTGCCCTTCTTCTTGCCCTTCTTGGACTTTTTGGTGGTCGTTTGAAATCCAAAGCCATCGTCTTCGACTTCTGGTGGAGGCTGCGAATCTTGCGGAAGGGTTTCAGGCTGGTCAATTGGCGCGGCCTCGTCCATCTCATCGGCCCACGAGCTAAAGGTCGGTTGAGGCGACTCCTCGGCAGGTTTCGGTTCCGGCGCCTCGTCCAAGGGGGTGTCTGCGGCATCTCCAGCAGCCATGCCAGCGGCTGCAGCTCCGGCAGCAGCCCCGAGAGCAGCAGCAGCCAACTTCTGAGCCTTCTTCTTGTCCTTCTTGGACTTCTTGGTTGGCAGCCACTCCTCCGGTTCCGCCGAGACTTCCTCGGCAAATGCTGGCGAGCTGTCGGTGTCGTCGAGCGTAGCGGACACGGCTTCCTCTGGATGCTGTGATACAGGCGCCGGGTCTTCTCTGGATACGTCTGTGCTGGGCTCCGCCGACTCTTCCATCAGACTTTCTTGCTTCTTTTTCTTCTTCTTGTCTTTCTTGGAGAGCTTGCGCTGAGGCATCGTATCCCAAGTGTCCTCCGCGACAGCATCATTTTGACTCTGAGCTTCCGAGGGGGGCTCCTCATCAGGCTTCGTAGCATCTGCCTGTTGTTCTGGAACATCCTGAGCTCCAGTACCTGCATCGGGAATGGCAGATTCTTGAGTAGACAGGCCCGGGACGTCTCGAGAGGCATGCGGCATGTCGGTATCGTTCAAAGGCGTAGCAGGAGGGTCGCCCATTTCCGTGTCCTCTGCCTGGGGAGCTACCACAACATCTTCAGAAGAGGGTGGCGCAATCTCAGCGGCAGTCTCATCGGCAGGTGTAACCTCTTCTTCCGGCTTCGGGGCGGCCTCAGCGATGGGCAAGTTCGAGCTTTCGGCCTCCGGCTCGTCCCAAGGGAGGGCCTCAACTTGACTTTTGCGACCCTTCTTGCCCTTCTTGCCCTTCTTAGTGGTCACTGGAACCGACCACTCGTCATCCGGATTGGGTTCAGGCACATCGTCTTCCGCTTTGGACTCACCCGAGGCTTGTTCTGGTGGGAGAAGCTCAGGTTCTGCCAGTCCCTCCTCGACTTGGTTGCGCTCGAGCTCGGTGTCCTGAGCAGTCTCTTCGATGACGGGGGCAACAGGCTCGAAGGGGGCGGCACTGACCGGCTTATCTTTCATGGCCCAGTCTTGATCAAGGTCAAGGGGCGCAGAGCTGTCGACGGTAGTATCCGGCAAAGCCTCGACGTCTGGACGGATCTGGGATTCCGTGATGTCTTCCGTTGGCGCGGAGTTTTCATCGAGCGCATCGCTTTCCGCGGCAAGGGTTGACTTCCTCTTCTTTTTCTTGTCCTTCTTTGAGACAGGGGCAATCCAGAAGTCATCCACAACTGGCTCCTTGGCAGGTTCTACCTCTCGAGAACTATCGGCCTCAGAAGGCGGTGAGCTCTCATCGGCTGCAAGTTCCAGAGCCTTGGCCTTCTTCTTCTTTTTCTTGTCTTTCTTAGACAGGCCAAAGCTCCAGTCGTCGTCTTCTTTCTTGTCGGGCTCATCCGGGACCGCAACTTCCTCCGCGGCAGGGGCCTCGGCTGAAGGCTCTGCTTGGGAGGGCACCGGCTCAGCATCGTCCTTGGCCGTCTCGACCACAGAGTCAATGTCCATTCGCGAGGACCCTGTCGCTTGATCCGCCGTAGTGTCCAGTGTGTCTGGCTCCGGCTCCGGTGATGTCGTAGTCTCGGGTTCCTGTGGGATTTCGGGTTCGACGTTCTTAGCCTTCTTCTTTTTCTTGTCTTTCTTGGACTTCTTCAGACTGAACCCACCCCACTCGTCATCGGGATTTGCCTCTGACTGTTGCTCACCGGCCCCAGGCGTGTCGCCGGATGCTGCCTCCTCGTGCTGCCCAGTCTCTTCAGTCATCGTTGCAACCTCGGGCGCCGTTGGCTCTTCAGCCGTGCGGTCCAAAGTAGGGCTCTCGTCGCCCTTTAGTTCCAGGTCCACTTTGTCCATCACCGGGACCTTGTCGTCTGAGGCTGTGCCCTCTGCTGAATCGAGCTGCGTCGCCTCGTCCAGGGCGGCTTGCTTCTTCTTCTTTTTCTTGTCCTTCTTGGATATCTTCACAGGGAAGAGAAACTCGCTTTCGTCACCAGCGGGGGCGTCAACGGGTCCGGTCTCTGGGATAGGCTGTTCGGGCGGCTCGTTTGCCACGCTCTTAGACTCAGGTTCTGACGGCTTCTCGGGCTCAACGATTGTGTTGTCAGGTGCGTCGTCATCAAGAGGATTTTCTTCCACAGGTAGCACGGCTTCTGATTCCGGCTGAACTTCTGCATCTGCAGGAACAGCCTCGGGTTGCGGGACGTCCACATCATCTTGAGCTAGATCCCGAGGTTTCGATTCAGATTCAGGCGGCGTCTCCACGTCGAGCGAGTCCCAGGAGAAGGTATTCTTCTTTTTCTTGCCCTTCTTGCCCTTCTTCGGAACCTCAAACTCAGCCTCGGGATCAACAGACGGTACAGATGTTTCGGCTGGTGCAGCTGCTTCGGCCGGTGGCGTGCTGGCGGCGGGCTCATCGTCCCACGTGCTGGACATTTGGCTCTGGCGCTTCTTCTTCTTGACCTTTTTGCCCGTGACCTGAGGCCACTCGTCGACAGCGGCGGATTCCTGGCTCGGCTGGTCGGTAGTGGCATCAGCCAACGGCTCTTCCAAGCTTGTCGGCTCTTCCGTCAAAGCGACAGGCTCGATGACTGGCTCAGAGCTGGACTCTACCACTGGCTCCTGTTCTGCCGGGGAACCGGATTTGCTGCCCTTCTTCGTGCTCTTTTTGGACTTCTTCCCACTGATGAGCCTGTCCCATTCATCTTCTGTCTGACTCTCCGGAGCCTCGACCTGCGGTGTGTCCGCCGATGGCTCTCTCGAGACTTGTTCATCAGCCAGGGGCAGGGGCTCCGTTTCGTCTTCAACGGGGTTTGTCGGGGCTGCAACCTCGTCCGCCTGCATTGCAGAAGGCTCCCCCGCTGCTTGGACGTCGTCAAGCGGGATGTCGGCGAGAGCCACCGACTCAGTCTCTGGCTTTGGAGAGGAGTCCTCCTCGAGCAGATCCCAAACACTTGACTGGCTCTTCTTCTTGTTCTTTTTGCCCTTCTTCTTAGGAACGGCAAAGTCTTCGAAGGTGGCTTCGGGCGCGGGCTTTGCAACAGGCTCTCTCTCGTCCGGGGTCGGTTCATCGGCTTGCGTTGGCTCAATGCTGGACGGCTCCTGAGTGAGCTGAGAGGGACCGTCGTCTTGAGAGAAGAGGGGTTCGGAGATGTGCGACTCCAGCGGGCGCGGCTGGTCGGCCTCTCGGTCTGTGACTTCTGTGGTGTCTTTGGTCTCCTCTGTCGGAATGTCGGCAGCCGCATCATGGCCAAGGCTTGCGGCAAGAGCAGTTGCCGAGGCGGCTGCAGCTGTCGCCGCCGCCAGGGCAATGGAAGGGTCGTTGCGGCCTTCAGCTGTAGGCTCGCCTTGGGCAGGGGTAGAGTCGTTGCGGCCTTCAGCTGTGGACTCATCCTGGGCAATGCTCTCCAGAGGAGCAGGGGCCTCTTCGGTTGACACGACGTCAAGAGACTTATCGAGGCCCTCTCGCTCGGGCTCCGGCGCTGCAGGAGTCTCCTCCGGCTCCCACTGCACTGACTTTCGCTTGTTCTTCTTCTTCTTTCCCTTCGTGACGGGAGCAAAGTCAGATTCAAGTGCCGTGGACGTTGCATCCTCGATAGGTGGCTCCACAGCTCGGTCAACCGGTTCATCGGCGGGACGGTCCAGCTTCTGTGCCACTTCAACAGGAGGTTCGTCAGCGGTCTCTGCCGGAGCTGGCTCGTCCAGCTGAAGGCTCTTGCGCTTTTTCTTCTTCTTGTCCTTCTTGGACGTCGCCGGGACCGACCATTCATCGTCTGGATCAGTCGTCGGTGGCTGGTCGGAGAAGGACGAGGCGGCCTCCTGTTGACTGGAGCTACCGGGCTCAACAAGCGTGGCCTCGCCCATGGCAGCCTCTGTCAGTGGTACAGAGTCGTCGACGTCGAGGGCCTTGGCTTCGTCTTGGATGGGTTCGGGAGGTTGATCACTGGCCAGAGTGTCCGTGCCCTTTTCTTCCTCTGTAGACGGAGTTTGGGACTCAGTATCCTCCGTCTGGGGCTCGTCCCAGACCATGGCCTGCTTGCCCTTTTTCTTCTTCTTCTTGTCTTTCTTGGAAGAGGCTGGGGTTGACCACAAGTCTTCAGCATCGGCCTCGGCAGCGGGTTCCGCCGCAGGGATAATTGCTTCTGTCTGGGCCGGAGTCTCAGCCACGTCGGGCGTTCTTGCTTCGCTGGCGGGTTCTGTGAGCTCTTGGACGGAAGACTGCTCCGGGTTGACGGTCTCAGCAGGGGTTTGAGTCCCGCTCTCGGTTGGTGGCGTGTCGTCATCCCAAGCCATAGCCGCCTGTTTTCCCTTCTTTTTCTTCTTCTTGTCTTTCTTAGAGGTAGAAGGGGTAGACCAGAAGTCGTCAGGGTTAGGTTCGGTCGCTGCCTCGGCCTCGAGAGCAGGAGCCGCAGGTTCGTCCGCCGCAGGCTCAGTCTCAGCAGTAATGGTTGGCTCTTCAGCTGGAACAGCTGCTTCGCCGGCAGGAGGATCAGTGGGTTCCGGTAGCTCCTTAGGGGCACCTTCGGCGGGCTCATCTGCGGGGGCGGCTACATCATCGGCTGGAGTCTCAATCTCTGTAGCAGGGCTCTCATCCCATGCCATGGCAGCCTTGCCCTTCTTCTTCTTCTTGCTCTTCTTTGTCGGAGCCATCCAGAAGTCTTCCTCGGCTGGCTGCGCCGGTTCAGCTTCGCGAGGTGTCTCCTCAGGAACTTGTTCAGTGGCCGGGGCGTCAACGGCTTGAACAACCTCGGTAGCATCAGAAGGGCCGAGTCCGGTCTCTGTGACTGCCTCCACTGGATCATCAGTCGCCCGAGGAGTTGAGCCGTCTGCAGGACCCTCCAGGGACTCGTCTTTCGGCGCAAAGTCCGTGGGAATGCTGGAGGGCGGGAGTGAGATGTCCTTAGCCAGGGCGATATCCGACACTTCAGCTGGGGTATCCGCTGGAGTCTCGTCCCTTGCAAGCACAACCTCTGGAACTTCGGCGTGTTCCACGACAACCGGCTCCTCAACTGCCGGCTCCACAGGCTTCTCGTCGACGGTATCCTCCCATGACAGAGACTTGCGCTTGTTCTTCTTGCCCTTCTTGCCCTTCTTTGGCTGTTCGAATTCATCTTGAGATGGTTCGGGTTGAGATGCTGGCGTGTCCTCCTTGGCCGTATCATCCGCCGAAGCAGAAGCAATGATCGTGGCGGCAGTTCCAACTGCAGCAGTTGCTGCTGCAGCCTCAGCGAAGTCCAATCCCTTGTTCTTGCGCGCCTTCTTGGCCTTTTTCTTCTCCTTGGCCGTCATCGTCTGCCACTCGGCCGGCTCGGCTTCTTCAGGAGCAGTGGAAGTCTCCTCTGGCATTGCCTTCTCAGACGAAGGTTCTCCCGCAGGCTGCTCTTGGGCTGGGGGCTCTGCGGGCCAAGAATGAGCCTCCTCGAAAGAGTCGTCGGGCGTGCCCTCGCGCGCATCAGAGAAATGCTCGTCGGCTGACGTCAAGTCTTCCATGACATCGGGCAAGGCGTTGTCCACGCCAAGCTTCTTGGAAGGACTGGAGCCCCAGTGGCTCGACGCGAAATCGTCGCTGTCGATGGTCTTGTTAGATCTGACAGATGACGGCGTGGAGCGCAGCAGGTACGAGCTCCTATCTTTTGACATGGGCTCCACGGGATCAGGTTCAACATACATGGCTGACTGATCATCATTGCGAAGCGGGGGCAATTCTTGGAATTCGGGCTTCGCGTCTGCCTTGGGCGTAGTCTCCTGGGATCCGGCAAGATCCTGCTCTTGAGCGAGCTGAGCCACGCTGGTGTCGATTCGGAGGCCAGTATCGGCGAGATCCTCCGCGCTCAGCCCGCGATGGGCGACGTCGTACGCATCTCCGAACTCGGGCGCAGGCGACTCCCTCGACGACGGTTCGCTGGGTGGTAGCTCAGGCAAGTCGTCTTGTTGAGGAATAGCATCGGCCGAGTTGTGTCTCGAGTGCTCGAGGAGGTACAGGGGTTTGATCTCTCGGCTGCTGTCCCAGGAAATATGGCGCCCTTGCCGTCGTGTAGCAGAATCGGGGGCGCTGCCGGGAGAGTCGAGGGGCGGGGATCTGAACGTGCCGGAGCCAGGGGTGCTGGGACTTGCCCTGTGGCCCAGTCTCAGCGAGATGGGGATGGCGGTCCTGCTCGGCGACTTGACGGGAGTCTCCTGAGCGCTCCGCCGACGACGGTGCGTAGTGTACTCGCGCTTCAAGTTGCGTTCGTCGGGAGGCGTGTCCGGTCGACTATCCGGAAGTGTTGGCAGCTCTTCGGGGGAGTGTGTTGGGCTGCCCGGCTCGCTCGGAGGAAGGGGGAGGAGGTCGCCATATTGGGGGTCGATGGCGGGCTTGATTGCTCGCGGAGCAACCTCGGGGTCGATGGCGTCAAAGTCCCGCGCCTCTTCTGCGCGATCCAGAGTATCGGCCCCCTTGTCGAATTCTTCTTCGGTGGCATGTGAGCGACTGGCCGCCATGTAAGCAGCGGCGGCAGCGGCAGCAGTCGCAAAGCCGGCACCTGCGCCAGGGGTGCCGGCATTACCTAAAAAAGAATCCTTCTTGTCGTCCTTGGACTTGAAGATGCTGGAGAACAGACCACTTGATCTCTTCTCCACGTCCTTGTCCTTGCTCCTGCGAGATGAGCTATCCGGTGCAGAGGCCACGGACTTGGTGTCGTCGTCATCGTAGCGAGATGACCTTCTGCTGTCTGAGTCCTTGTCTCTGCTCCGACGCGAAGAGCCGCCTGGCGCCGACGCAACTGACTTGGTGTCATCATCTTCGTACCGGGACGACCTCGTCTCCGACTCCTTGTCCTTGCTTCTGCGGGACGAGCCACCAGGCGCTGAAGCAACTGACTTGGTATCGTCATCATCGTAGCGGGATGACCTCCGCTTCTCACGCTTCTCGCGCTTCCTGTCGTCGTCGAATCGACCTTCCGAGACGACAGACGTCACCTCACGATCCTCGAAGGGATCGCTCTTCCGTGTGTCAGGTGGCTGGTCGCCATAGTCGTCAAAGTCGTCGTCCACCCCGCTTCTTCGCTTCGACTTGCTGCTTCTCTTGCTGGAGCTCTCGGCGGACACTTCAGACGCAGCGCGGAATGTCGACTCGAAGACACCAGAGTCTCTCTTAGACTTCTTCTTCGACTGTTTGGCGGTGTCCCACTCATCGTTGGGGTCGACGTTGCGGAGCGATTGCAGGTCTTCGAAAGCGTCCGTAGGAACTGAGACCTTGGAGGATGCGTCGTCTTCAAGGTCTCGACTCTTGCGGTTCTTCTTGGATTTCTTGCGCCCCGTCTCCTCCCAGAAGTCTTCGCCGGCGTCACGATCTTGGCTAGGCTCCGACTCGGCCACTGGGGTCCACGACTCGTCCTGAGCGAGTGCCTGCGCCTTGGCCGCCTTGTCGCGCTTCCGCTGCTCCTTCTTGCTGAGCTTTTCCGGAGCCTCGGCGGCGTCATCGAATGTTGGCGTCTCTGAGCTCTCGGCAGCAGGCTCAGACATGTCCAGGGACTGCCGCTTGAGCTTTTCGAGCTTCTTCTTATCCTTCTTGCTCAGCTTCGCGGAAACCTCGGCCCACTCATCGGCCGCGGGCTCGTCCCTGGGCGTCTCAACTTCGCCGACGACATACCCGGGGTCAGGGACTGACCGTTCGTTAGGGGCGCCAGTCAAGTTGGTGACGACATCCGCAAACGACGTATGGTTCCAGCCATCTCCATTAGGCTCGCTCTCGCCGGGGGGAGAATCGCGTCGCCGATATGCCGGGTCGTCGATGACGATGTTGGGGTCGAACCCTGTATCCTTGAGGCCGGCAGCGAGGGTGGCGGCAAACTCAATGTCATCTCCAAAACCGCCAGGCATCCTCTCCGGGTGCGGGCTCGGCGGCTTCGGACCTGGGACCGGCGGTGCTCCAGAGTCATCTGCGAAGCTGTGCTCGGGGTCTCCAGCCCCGAAATCTCGAGGTTTGGAGTTGTCATGCTCCTTGGTTTCTATCACTTCGATCTCGTTGGCCGGCTCGCGGCTGCTCCCAGCAATGGCCGCGGCAATCATGCCCCACTGACTCGATTGGTTGAGGCGCGGTCTCGGCTTCTCCTCTGCCTTGTCCCAGCTCGGCTCGGTGTCGCTCCGTGGCTCGGGCGTCTCAACCTCGAAGCTCTTGGTCGAGTTCTCGCCCCACGTCACAGACTTGGCTGACGACGGCTGAGAGGCGTCGTTGTCCGCCTCGACTACCACCTCGGGAACGGACCTGGACGATGGCTCGCGCCGCTCTTGCGTATCCTTCTCACGCTTGGCATGATCCGGGCTCGGCGTGGCCTGGCGGCTAGACACGGGTGTGGGATACACCAGGTTCAGCAAGGGTCTGTCCCTCTCGCACGAAGGGTCTCGAGACTTGAACAGAGGCGCATCCAGGCCATTGGCTCGAAACTTGTGGATCTCCTTGGGGAAGATCTTGTTGTCGATTCGCACATCGGCGTTGGGCTTGTCGTACGGGTTCTTGTCCGGATCTTGGTGACTATCCTCGTACTGCGGGGGTGAAACGATCTTAGTCTCATCCTGGGCGTCTTCCTTGTATCGATCAACGACCGAGCGGTCCGGGGTCTGGCTGCGAGAGCGGATCTCGTCCTCGGCAATCTTTCGTGCAATGACTGACTCGCGGTAGGCACGGTTCGCCCGCTCTTGGACTTCGTCAACGTCGCGCGCCCGCTCACGCCTGTCGCCATTCGAGCGCTCGTCATAGCGGTTTCGAGATCGAGACCGAGATCGAGACTTGATTGTCTCCACGGCAACAGCGGCAGCAATCACACCCGCAGCCGCAGGGATGGTGGAGTGCTTCGTCTCCTCGTAGATATCCTTGGCGGCCTTCTCTTCCTCCTCGTAGGTATTGCGTCGACGAGGCTCTGGACTTCGCGGAGCACCCTGCGCACCTTTCTTGTAGTCCTCAACCATTTGCTCAATCTCAAACGAGTCCTTGCGGCTCAGCCTGGCGTCCGGAATGGATGGTCGGGGAGCCCAGTCACTGAATGTCGGTTCCCGGTCCACTGTTACCACAGTCGGTGTCAAAGGGCGAGCAGGTCCTGCGTCTGGGGCAGCCAGGTCGTTGTCGTGGATCTGATACTGGAAAGGGTCAACGGGGGTTCTCTGGGGGGGATGGTTGCCTGGGTCATCAGCGCTCTCGGGACCTGCCTTTTCGGCCTTGTAGAGATCACGGCGGTCGTCCCGGTCGTCATACTTGCGGCTGTCTCGCCGTGATGAGCGTGATACTTCGCTTCTGCCTCCAGCGTCCAGTTCAACCTCAATCTCTCCATTCCGGTAGGTACGGGTCTGGGGCTCGGGATAGTGGTCAACGGCCGTCTCGCGCTTCTTGCGGGGCGTCTCGTCATCCTCATGGCGCGAGGACCGCTTGTGCTCGCGGTCGTCGGCGTACTTGGATGAGTACGAGTCACGCTTCGAGCTCCGTCGCTCCTTGTCGCGATCAGGCTCCTTGTCTTTGCGCTTCGAATCCTTCTCAGTCTTGTCAGACTTCTCGGAGCGACGCTCGCGGTCCCGGCGGTCGTCGTCACGATAGTCACGGTACTCGCGACTGTCGCGCTTGTCGCTCCTCTCGTCCTTCCTGTCGTCACGGCGATCGGACTTTCGCTCTTCCCGACTCTTCTTGCGGTTAAATGCCATGGCGGCGGCACCTGCGGCGGCCATGCCAATGCCAGCCATCGCCGCGTCGCTAAGACCCTTGTCCTCCGTTCGCGTGCGATGGTCTCGCGAGTCCTTGCGGCTGGCTTCCTCGAGCTTCTCGGCTTGGTACACCTTGGGAGAGACTGGCGTCTTCGGGACGGGTTGCTGCAGTGGAACAGGTTCCGGACGAGACCGGTAGGGAAGACCCTGACGGGAGATGGCGGACGCCGTTTCAGCATCGAACTTGGTCGGGTCGGTTGTCTTGCGTATGGGTTCGGTCTCGGCGCGTCGGAGCCTGTTGAAATCGCGGTACTGTGCAGCCGGGACGGCAGAGTCGCCATCCCTGAAAGGCTGAGGCGTGACCAGGCCATGAAGGGAGTTGACAGGTCCAAAAAGCCGGGGGTCGACCGCGGATGTCTGCCTTCCATGCGTGGAGCGTCCGCCCACGGTCGAAGCAACAGCCGCTCCAGCAGCCGCTCCGGCCACGGCGGCAGCAGCGGGCCGAATGGCATGCGAGACGACGGACCCGTACGCGAGTTCCGAATCGGCGCCATCGCTCGACTCGCCATCTGAAGCAGACTCCCAGTCGGAGTCGTCGCCCGACGAGCCGTCGTGGGGGCGCGAGCTGCCAATGCCACGGCTCGCAGGACCGTCCCGCTTCTTGCGCCGAAAGTCACTGACGGTAGCGGCGGCAGCCATCAGACCGGACGGCCGAACCCGGCCCGCGGCCTTGAGGTCATGTTCGTTCTGCTTGCGCGCAAAGTCCTGCAACTGGCGACCCAGCTCGAGAATCTCCTCGTCCGTCTTGGCCCTACGCTGGCCGGGGCGATTCGATCCGTCGGTGGCATAGCCGGCGCCAGGTCCGCGATACTGCTGAGACGAGCCGGCGACGACGGCGGCAGCAGCAGCGGTGCCTGCCGAGGCAGCGGCAAAGCTCTCGCGCGGGCTGAAGCTGCGCCCCTTGGGTCTTGCGATGTAACCATTGCCGTAAGCGAGGTCAGAGTTGACCGAGGACGACGACGAGTTGCCAAAGTATAGGATGCGCCGCTTCCGTGCCTTGCCGCTCCTGCGACGCCGGAGCCTTGACCGCTCGGACGGCGCGCGGAAGAAGGTGCCGAAGACACCGCCGAAGCGGCTCGCGGGGTAGTGTCGCGAAATGTCCAGCAGCGACGACGAGAGGGAGCTGGAGGATGAGTTTGAGCTGGAGGGGGCGCGCGGGCGCTGATGCTGCGATGAATGCTGCTGCGACGGCTGCGGCGGATACTGATATGGCTGTTGCTGCTGTTGTTGCGGCTGGTACGGCTGATATGGTTGCTGATATTGCTGCTGCTGGTACGAGCCCGGGTAGTCATAGGCACCGCGGTCGGTCGCCGTCTTCGTCGTCGCAGCCGTCATCGGGGGCGCCGTCGTCGCCCGTGTGTAAGGGGTGTAAGGCAAAGAGTCCTGGGACATGGGCATAGGCGGCAGGTTGGTGAGCTGCGGCTGTTGCTGCTGCTGCTGCTGCTGCTGCTCGCGCGAGTCCCGTCTACTCTCTCGCCTGCGCCTGCGGGAGCTCTCTGGGCTCCGGCGCCGGGAGTCTCGCATCATGGTGGGCGTCGGTGCGTCGGCGCGCGCATGTGGTGTTGGTGGTTGTGGTGAGGGGGGAGGCGTCTCTGTGTGTTTGTGCGTGCGCGCTGCGAGGCGAGACGAGGCGGGATGTTTGGTTCGACGGGATAGTGGTTCGTGCGTGCGTGCGAAAGGCGAGAGTGTGAGTGTGAGTGTCTTGTTTTGATTTTGGGGCTGGTCGGTCGGCCGGTGGAGATGGATGGACGAACCGGCGGCGGAAAGCTCCCCCCTGCTCCCCTGCTCGGGCTGCTGCTGCTCATGGCTGCTCTCACGCCTCACTCACCCTCACCTTTTCGTCGCCCCGGGCCGCCCGCCGCCGCTGGTTACCGTCGTCGCCTCCCACCTACCCAACCCCTGCTGAGCGCAAAGAAGAGCGGTGGCTGGGGTGACGAGGAGGGCGCTAACTCGGGCTGGAGGGCCAATGGGGGAGCGGGGCGCCCGGGCCTGGCCGTTCAGCTTGGCCGGTGCAACGGGGCAGCGGGTGGAGGCCTTGACGTGGCTGACGGTATTGTAAGGTACCTACCGTCCAGCGCTGTAGGCAGGCGCCTGTGCCGGCGACGAGATGCTGTTCTGCGCGCGCCTGTGGTGGTTTTGACGATGTCGCGTCGCAGGTGGTTTGGATTTCGCATGTAGTCGTGGGACGGATGCTCCCGAAGTGGCAACCGGGCATTCCAGCGCCTCCCGCACTTCCTCGACCCTTAGATGGATAAACGGGCTATTTTTGCAGTGGTCTCAGGGCCCTCCATTCCTCGATTCCTCCACCCTGACCTCACAGCCAGCGGGCCGCTAGCGGTGGTGGGCGGGCATCCCAGAGCATGGCGCCTCCCGCGCGCCCCCGTTTCGACCCGCCAGAGCTCCCAGAGCTCCAACTGCAGCGTGGAGACCTACGGCCTGCCAGTTGGAGAAGCCTGCCCGCCCTCTGGAGGCGGCATCCACTGCCGTGCCCGCTGAGAGAGTGATGGGATGCGCTCACCACCAGAACAGTAGATCCGTACATGCAACGTCAATTAGGCAGAGGTCGGGCACCCTCGTTCCCGCCAACTCGCCGCCTCAGGACACAAATCCCCTTTTGCGTCGCCCAGCAAGAAACAAGGAAAAATCACCGCACTTTTCTCGCCCACCAGTTGATTTTCGTCGACGTCCTGTCGCAGAACCGCATGGCCCCCACCACACCTTGACGGATGGGCATGCGCTGTGGTGTGGTGTGCCAGCGTGGCAACGGAGCAGTCGCATGCCAGGAAAAATAGGCACACCCCCAACACTCACCGACTTACCCTATTTCCCATCGTCACGCCCAGCTGAAGAAGGAAGAGAAAGAGGGAAAGGTAGGCAAGTTGCACATGTTGTTGATGGCGATTTTCATGAGCACTGCTGCGGTATCGGGATTTTGGAATATCGTCTCCCCGGCGTCTTATTATGCGTCGAGGTCTGGCTCTGAGGTCAGAGTTGCGTTGCGTCGTCCAACTTGAAGCACCCTTCGGCACGGTGAAGTCGCACCCAATGCGACGGCCCACACACACGCATGAAGCTCACATCTAGCCATCTCGGCATCGAATCCTACCTTGGCCAACGATCACAAATAATCTTCATCCGGATCATCACATTCTCCAAAGAGCGCTCATAAACTATTCTTGAGAAGATCTGTATCTGTACATTTACTTCGTACAAGTCATCCAGCGCGCGTGCATCTCTAACCCTCACCTCCATCCGCCATCGCAGAGAATCGTCTCCGGTAGCTGCCATCATCACATCGATGGCCATCACCGACCGCAACAGCAGCAGCATCACCAGCCCTCCACCACCCGCGTCCGCAGCGGCATCCCGTACGCCGGCCGCGCCGTCACCGCCGCCTTGAGCTTGATGTTGCGCTCGTCCGCCATGGCCTCGTCCGCCAGCTCGTACTCGAAGCGCCCCACGCACGCCGCCAGCAGGCACGCCAGCTCCGCCCGCGCAAACGCCGCTCCTATGCAGCTGCGCGGCCCGTGCAGGAACGTCATGAAGGCGTAGTTGCTCTCCGCGCCGCCGCCGCCGATGCTGCTTGCGCCGCTCCCGTCGCCTCCACCCCCAACGCTACCGCCGCCGCCGCCGGACAGCCACCGCTCCGGCTTGAACTCGGCGGCGTCCTTGCCCCAGAGGCCCGGCTCGACGTTGGTGCCCCAGGGGGAGAGCATGATGCGCGTGCCCCGCGGGATGAACTGGCCCTGGATCGTCGTGTCGCAGGCCGCCTCGCGTATCGTCTGCGGCACGGGGCTGAAGACGCGCAGCACCTCGCTGCAGAAGGCGTTGAGGTACGGCAGGCGGTCGATGTCGGCGCTCGAGATGTCCGAGTCGGCATCCGCGGACGGCGAGGGCAGCGCGGCGCGCACCTCGTCGCGCAGCCGCTGCTGCATCTCCGGGTGGCGCGTCATCATGTACAGCGCCCACGTCAGCGCCGAAGCCGTCGTGTCGTGGCCGGCCGCCAGGAACGTCATGAGCTGGTCGACGAGCTGCTCATCGGTGAAGAGGCCGCTCTCGAGCGCCACCGAGATGATGTCCGGGTCTAGCGGCTCCTTGCTGGCCAGCCGTCTCCGTTTCTCGACGACCAGGTCGCGGCATACGCCGCGGATTCGCTGCGCCGCGGCGTTGATGTCGTCGTTGCGCTTGATGGGCAGATGGGTGATGAGCCAGCCCGGCAGCACCATGCCCAGCACCATGAGCACCTTGGCCTGGCGCGTGGGCGTCGACAGGTTGATGTAGGTGCTGGCCAGCGGGTTATTCTCGTCCTGGATGGCGCCAAAGTCGACGCCCATGCCCGCGACGCCGATGATGTCGAGCGTGCACCGCGACGCCCACGAGTTGACCTCGAGGACAGCGCCGTCATCGTCATCGTCCCCGGCACGCACGGCCACCTCCATGGCGTCGAGCAGCTCGCGGGCCTTGCGCCAGAAGGTCGGGTACAGGCTCTTGACGTGGCGGAAGTGAAAGGCCGGCAGCAGGTTCTTGCGCTGGACCTTGTGCTCGTCGCCCTCGGCCAGCAGGATGCCGTAGCCGAGGACGCGGCCAAGCGAGGTGCGCACGGCGTCGGGCTTGGGGAAGAGGTAGTTTTTGGTGACGAGCACCTCGGCGAGCGCCTTGGGCGAGGTGACGATGACGCGCTCGCGGTTGAAGAAGAAGAAGTAGCGGATGAGCCCGTTGTGCGGCACTGTCGTGATCCTGTCGTGGCCCGCGGCCCGTCACGTTAGCTGTAAGCTTCCCTTTGAAGATGAGCAGCTTGTTGCCGCTGCTATGGTGACGCAAGCTGGAGGACTTGGGAAACTTACCACTCGCGCAAGGACGCGCCCGGGTTCGCGGCCAGGATCTTGGGCCCGTGGCCAAAGACCCAGTGCGCGCCGGGGGCCGTCGGGATGCGCCGCAGCGGCGACGTGTAGTGAGGGTAGACGAGCGTCGTCCACAGCAGCCAGGCCAGCAGCTGGGCGGACCAGACCATGGCGAACACCTGGGCCAGGTACTTGGTGGAGCGGACGCGGTAGACGACGATGAGCAGCCCGCAGCCCGCGAGGGCGGCGACCGTCATGGCGCGCAGCGGCACGCTCATGGTTGCGGCTGGCGCCGGTCGGTCCTGGTTGTAGTAGTGGTGGTGGTGGTGATGTGGGTTTCGCGTGTATGTGATTGTCCCCCTCTCTCTGTGTTCGTATATTCAAGCGTCGAACGTCGGTTGCGAGTACGAGTTCAAAAAGGCCCTGCGCGGGTGCCTCGCGACCGTCCCGGCCCCAAACGTCAATGAGGGGGCAAAGGCGTGAGTGATGTGATGTGATGTGATGTGAATGTGATGTGAAGTGCCGCTGCGGCCGCCTCTTCGTATCCGAATCCGTCCCTGGGTGCACGCGGTCACGACTCACGACTCACAACGCATGTCTCGGCCCGGAGCCGCCGCGCGCCGCCGCCGCCGTCGTCGCCCTGTAAATCGCCTGCTCTGTCGATCCCGTTGCACGCTGCATGCGCAAAACCACCCTGCGAAACCTCGGGCACGTTTTGGCGAGGCAGATTCCGACTTTGCAACAAATCAACTGACCGGACAACGTACGTAGAAACGAATACAAGGTCGAACCGTTGAAGTGGGGGATGAGGAGAAGCACCAGCAGCTGCAGCAATGTGAGAGGAGGATGAGGACAAGGAGGGAGGAGCAATAGCTAGCCCAAGGATAAAGTGGCGTCTGGAGTTGATGGAAAAGTGGTGGTGGTGCTCTGCTGCCTCCCCCAATGGACGTCGGGCCAATGCTAATGCCAATCAATAGTCGGCGGCCTTCAGGAGGTACTAGCCAGCTAAATAATAGGTAGGCACCTGGCTGTACCATGTCACTTCGTATTGAGCCGTATGTACCTACGGCATCGCGGCACCGGCACCACCTGCGAATCCCAATCCCAATCCCAATCCCGACAACCGACTTTCAATCAATCCCACCTCCCTCCCGAGCGTGTCAACCCCGCGCAACTGCCTAAAGTCAATGTGCCGACTACCTCATCTGGGGGAGGGGGCGACGCGCGGATGCCAAACAGGACGGTGGGCTGCTGCTGCTGCTGCTGCTGCCGCCGTCAGGGACCCTTGCGCAATGCGACGCAAACGATTCTCGAGTGCCGAGGATGCCAAAGCCGACGTCACAAGCCAACCGCAGACGCCAGTGGTGGCCGCCCCGACACACACACACAGACTCACACACACTCCCTCTCTCGCGGTCTCCCCCCTCTCAAACCCTCCTCCCAGCATCCTCTCCATTCGTTCCATCCTGGGCATTGTCGGAGGGCCAAGCGCCTGCTACGTCGTGCGCCGGCCCAAATTTCACTCACATCACTCGCCGTCGGTTGCTCCCTCTGCGCTGCGGTGGGGGAGACGGAGTGCCATCCCGCGGCAGCCGATCCTCTCCCTGCCCGCCGGACCGGGATTCGACTCGACACCCGACCCTCCGGTCCGGCGCCCCGACACGCTCCCTTTACCGCAACCCACCTCACCTCACCCAGCGTCCAGCAGGCCCGTCTCCATGCCAGTGCCATGTCTACATTCGCCGGACCCCTCCGCCTCCTCCGCCACCCCGCGTTTTGCTTGCTTGCCCCTAGCCGCTATCAGGCAGCCCATTCGACCCGCCCGCTGGAGAGCCGAGGGAAACTGATTCGAGCTCATCAAGGCTTCGGCATCGGCCGCCAAATCCCCACTGATACCTCGCTGGGTGACACGCGTAACCGGGCCGTCGTCATCGTCCCCGACACGTCGTGTCAATTTCATGTCACATCTTGTATGCACAACTCGCCGTCGTCTCAAATCGTCAATTTGCGCTGCGCCCCCCATGGAGCCTCCAGAGCCGCTTTGCCGCAGCTGTTCCGTGTCCCGTCCCAATGTTCATGTGCCCTCGATAGCTACCGTCCACCTCCAGTGTCCTGGTCTAAAAGATTAGAGATGGTTTAGTACAGTGTGGCGCGCAATCTAAGCCGTATGCCCGGCCATGACCCGTCCCCGTGATGCAGTTGCGCCATCCATCCATGAGAGAATTCCGGGAAAAGGTTAAAGGACGAAGGCCCAAGGAAAAAAGTAAAAACAAAGGTCACGTCCAGCTTGCTAGTCCCCCTAGCTCATGCTGTCGTCACCAAGCGCCCAAAATCAGCATCCAGCGGCAACACACTTTGCTGCCACCTACACCTAGTTTGATGCGCCGTCTCGAGCTGCCTGCTTACCCACCATCGACCTGTCGACTCGCCGCGGGCGGGCACCGTTGTTGCGCCACCGCTGACGCGCTCTGTGCCTATCATGGCACAGATATTTTACCAGCGGCCACGTTGGCTGGAGCTCCAGGACGCCGGGTTGTGAAGGGCTGTGATCGGTGGCACTCTGACCCGTCCTTGGTGCCCGCCTGCTGCGTCGCCTCCCGTCGTGGAGCTTCCTTGACGACCGACCTCATTAATCGCTCGCGCCGCGCCCTCCTCCATCAACACCATTATTTGTCGCATGACGGCCACCGTGGGCGCCGCGTCCTCGTCGCTGCCAAACTCCACCGCATCTGTTGTATACGCCGGTGGCTCCGTGTTTGTGCCGGCCGGCATCCCCTCGGGCGCGCTGTGTGGGCTGGGGCTTCGATGGCGCCTCCTGGTACGTCGTTGGTCCTGCCCGGCGGCGTCGTCGGGAGGGGAGCGTCTCTCGTCGGCAAGCCCCTGCATCCTCATCCTGTTGACGTACTCCCTAATCTCTGTCTCAGTCACAGATCCCGACACGGCTCTTCTGTATAGATTCTCGTCTAACTCGCTGCAATATAGTCAACATCAGCGACGATCCAAGATTCGACGAGGCACCGACTTACCTCGGCGGCAGTCCGCGCATTCTCATGAAGTTCATGAACGCACGAGCCGTGACTTGGTGATTCTTTGGTTCCGAGGGCAGCTTGTCGCGGCAGTACGGGCAACTGTCCGACTCCTCGAACCATTTCTTAATGCAGTGGTCGCCAAACACATGCTTGCATCGTGGTAAGCGCAGGGGCGCCTCTGAAACGCCTTCCGGACTCATCTCGTTGTACTCGTTGTAGCATATGACGCATACTGGGTTGGCGGACAATCAGTCAGCATAATTGTCTCCCGCTTCGTCCGCCGGGGGGGGGGGGGGGGGGGGGGGTGACTACTTACTCTGCTCGCTCTTGGGCAGATCATCCTTCTCTACGGATTGCAGAGTTCTCAGCGCCGCTCGAGAGGCGATCAACTTAACCTCCGCTCCGCGGGCGAGCTGGGCCTGCCGGACGGATGCTGCGTCGTCCCACGTCAAATTGTTTCCACCACGACCCAGCCCTGAGCTGCCGGACTCCGAGAGTGCCTGTCGTGAGTGCTCGGCCATCTCGACGAAGCCGGTGTGGGCCTGGACAGGATCTGAAGCAGCGGCGTGTCGTGAGTTCATGTACCTTCGGGCACGCGAATAACCCTGTCGGCGGCGGTCGGAGACTGGTGACGGAAGGGCCGAGCTGTTGCGAGGCGTCGAGAGTGAGGTTGCTAGGACTGAGGACGAGTTAGTCAGGGCATACGAGACGACATGAAGTTTAGTGTTGAAAATGAATTCCAAAATGCTAAAACCCTAAACACCAAAGCTGGCAATCGCACCGTTGCTGCTAACAATCGCGACTGGAAGGAAACTTACTCGTGGCTCGTCCCGAATGATGAGGACGAGGCGTGTGAGGCGACGGTGGCGTAGTAGGCGAGGCGCTGCCGTGGATAGTGGCGCGACGCGGAGGGGTGGTTTGGTCCAGGGGCAAGTGATGATGGTGTCGGTGATGCGGGCGTTGCCGCGGAGGCTGGACTTGAGGTTGGGGTTGAGGTTGGGGTTGAGGTAGGCTCGGGTGCTGATATTGGTGATTCACTACCTGCGTTTGCGGCAGTGCCGGCGGAGACGAACCGTTTGCTATCAATGGGCCACGGTGCACGCCTGAACTGAACTGGAGCGGCGGCCGCGCTTCCGGTGTTGCACCTTGCACAGTGCCTGAGCCTGTGCCTATGCCTGCGCCTGCACCCACAATCGCAGCAACGCCATCGACCTGTGCCGACGTCTGCAGTCGCGGCGGCATTGGCACCGGCACCGGAGCCGTGCCGGGACGCACGTCCATGAAGCCTCGACGCCCGTCTGTCGACAGTGAAGCCGAGTTAGGATGCCCGATACCTTCTGCTTCGGATCCGCCCACACGAGCTATAAAGCCGACGGGTGGAAGACCCCCGTGGCTTACCGTGCCTGAACTCGCGGGTCCGCCAGGGTAAGGAGGCGTCGCCGAGATCCATGTGTGGTTCTGCGATATCGATGCCAGGCCGAGCCAGGGATTGGGTGTTGTCGCTGCCGGCGGTCGAAGGCTTCGGTCTGGATGAGGCAGCGTGCCTTGCATGCCGACATGAAAAGGGTCCAGGCCTGGGAGTCCACGGCTCGGCTGTGGTGAAGGGAGGTAGTGAGGGCCCGGCGACGGCCACGCACCGCCCATGAAGTGGTGTGTTTGTGCTAACCAAGCACCGTGGCCATGGACCGGGTCGCTACGAGGCGACGGCCGTTGCGAGCTCTGCGGCATGTAGTTGATGGGGTCCATCGCATTTGCAGTCCAAGCCGGGCGACCCGGATCCCTTGCCCTGGTAGGCGGCTGGCTCCGTTTCCCGGAGACCGAGAGATCTTTCGTGGTATCAAGGGAACTGGTCCTGATGCCGCGCACTCGTCACTCGCTAGGTCTGCTGCGAGGCAGCCCGAGCCGATGGCGGAGAGGACGGCTGCTTATTCTGTCCGTCCTTGCGCGCCACACGTGCGCCTAAGGATACTGGCTCTAGTTCTGTTGTCGTCGCTGGGAGATCCTTGGTCACTGCTTCGGTCCGTCTTCGAGGCTAGCCAATATGATCTCTGGTAGGTACGCTGCGGCCGCGGGATGAGAACGAGTCCCCCATGGGAGTAACCAGGCGAGGATAGCGGAGGCAACAGACGCACGAACGAGCGATAGAGGAGCGGCCGGGAGCAAGATCAACAACGGGATCGGAGGACTGTGACGACGTGATGTGAAGCCGCAGTCAAGAGGCGCGGACGGAGCAGTGAGGTGTGGGAAAGACGGGGTCCGGGCGAGAGAATGGACGATGACAGAAAGAAGAATAGGGAAGGCGGGAGTCGGTGGCCCGTTGGCAAGAGCCAGACTTGGCACTTCGTGGCAGCGGAGGAGCAGCCGTTGAGCAGCAATGTCGCTGCAGGCAGCACGGACGGAGCTGTCGTTGGCGAGAGGTCCGTCACAGCAAAAGTGACGGAGGTTGAGCGAACCCGTTTGGTGCTAGAAAGTGAGTGCGGTAGCGTCACTGCTCGACCTTGGACATGAACGAAGACTTGGGCACCCGCCTATCCCAGGCGTCCTGGCTCGGCCCTGTTTGCTTGGCTTGCGCGGAACCGATGCCGGCTCAGGAACGGTATGAACGCGCAGCGCCGCTGTCAGCGACGACAAGAGACTGGCCGAGGGCGGAGGGATGGGCAAGGCGGACGAGTGAGGCGGCCAACGATCCGGCCAACAGGCAAACAAGCGGGCCACTTGCTTTCCCGCAATCTCCTCGGAGCCCAAGGGAAGCGAAGAGGCCGAGAGTACCAATCCAGGCGGCGGAACAGACGGAAGGAGAATAAGATCCTCGGGACGGGCAAGGAGAACGCTGCGGAGAGGATCCCAATCCGAGCTGGAAGCAACGGGTGAGCAAAGGTGACCAGGACGACGCGGAGGCGAGGGCGGCGATGGTGTCGGTGCCGGTGCCGGTGCCAGTGACGATATGATTCCAACGAGAAGGTGGCAGCCCTTTGGAAAGACGCAGAGATGGACACGGTACGGTCAGCCGACCAGCTGGACGATGTGACGACGACGGGGTAGATCGCGGGACAGACGGTGGACAAAGTAGCAGGAAATATGGCCCCGAAGAGAAAAGGTGGTGCGGCCGATACAACAATAAGAGGAGGGGAGCACAATAGCACGAGAGAGTCACCAACGGGGGCGGCGGCACGAGGCGCAGACGCAAGCGTATCAAGGCAGGCCCAAGTGCAGATGCAGACGCCGACGCGGGATAGTGAAGGCTTGCAGAGGCCCAAAGTTTAGAGCTTCCAGATGCCAGGAGCCGTAGCGACACAATGATGATGACTTGACGGCGGCGAAGGAGGGGAAGGCGTCGTCATTTGTTGAGGTCAGACTACCGTGGCGATGGGCGGGGAACGGCGGCGGCGGCGGTGATGATGATGAGGAGGAGGAGGAGTGCGAGCAGCAGCAGCGAGAGGAGGAGGAGACGGAGCAGCAGGACAAGGCACAAGGAGAACGCCGAGAATGCTTGGGCCCAGGCCAGCGGGATGCGGCGCAGATGAAGGGGCGAAGGGGGCAGGTCTCATGGTGTCAGAAGGTCACAAAAAGAGGCACCACGCTCGCTCACCTCTCCTCACTTGGGCTCGTCGCCAACGACCGGACGAGCCGACCAAGACGGGCGGACGGGGGTGTGGGCGGCGGGACCAGGCAGCGCGCTCGCGGAGGCAGTCAAGGTCACAGGACGGACGGGCAAAGGACGAGACAGGACAAGACGAGACGAGGGAGCGTGCAAAGCCCGAGCCCAAGAACGCCATTCCCCCCCCTCTCGTCACGCTGCTGGGTGCCGCTCATCCACCTCAAATGGTGCTCGAATCCATGACCACCAGCCCCGGGCAGCAGCGTGGTGGGAACGGGCTGTGGTGGCGCCAACATGCAAAGGCAGCCTGAAATGGCTGGGCCGACGTCTGTGACCTGTCCACTGTCTCGCCTTGGCTGCCCGGCTCGGCTGGGGAGACGACTCGGGGTGGGCTGTCGGCGTCGCAAAGCAGGGCATTGCTACTACCTGAGGTAAGGTAGTTGGGTACGAAACGGTCAGGGTGCGGGCACGGAACCGAGCAATGCTCGTACATGATCGTACGTGCGGTGGGCGGGCTGCCGGGTCCGTCTGTTCGTTCCATCATCAGCTCCAAAGGCAAATCGTACCCAAGCCAGCAAAGCACGGTACAGTACATCGGGTATCGTGCTAACCTCAGCAATCTTGGGCACTACGCCCCCGAGACCAGGCGGGCGACCAGGTGTGGGCGGGGAGGGGACAGGCGGCCAGAGCGCTGGACCGGCGGCCGGGCCGGATTGTCCACGTCCGCATCACATCCACGTCTGCATGCTTTTGCGCTTACTCGGTTGCAGGTTGCTTTGCTCGCCGGGGCTGCTTCGAGTCAAGCCTGTCGAGCCAAATACTCACTCGAGGCGGCGGCGGCGCGCCACCGCGGCACGCACCACAACCTGGCAAACGGGACCGACCTTGTCCGTCCATCTGGGCGGGCGGCGGGCAGTGGTGCCAGCACGGCAGCACGCCAGGGAGCACCTGCTCCGTAATCAAGATGCCGCGCGAGGGCATCCGAGTCGAGTTGCCGTGCTCGTCGTGTGAGGAGTCGAGGACTGCCAGACAGGGCGAGCAGCCGAGCGTGGATGGAATGACGGAAAATGCCACAGCGCAACGGCCTGATGAGCGAGGCCGGGCAGAGATCACCACACTCACGCAAGCGACCGGAGAAAATGACAAGCTACCTTACCTAGCATTGACGAGAGACGAGACGGAGAGGCGAGGGGCATCTCGGCACAGCAAGGCAGCGGCCCGGCAGGTGACAGACAGACAAGCGCAGAAGGCGCACTTTCCCTGCCGGGCGATGAAGTCAGGGCAAATGCCGCCTGTGATTCGCCCGCCCCGAGGCTCACCTGACGATGACACCAGCAGACTGCCAGACTTCGGCAGGGAGGTACCTATCTACGTGACTGCCTTGGCTCGTTCCTTCCAGTTTACGAGTAATTAGTGTACATTTTATTTTACAGTATACGACGCCGCACTGACGACCTAAGGCAGTCGCTGACGCTGACGCCTGGCGAGGCGCCAACACAATCCACGTATGCCTTCCATCCCCCCATCGACACTTGTTCTGTTTTGAGGGCCTCGTGTCTGTTGCCCAAGGCATGGACCTGCTGGCGTCAAGACGGGCCAAAGCCCCGGCGCCGTGCGAGGCCCGACAATGCGGCACTAACCGTATTGTGCAGCGTGGTGCAGTACAATACAGTACAGCGCCGGACATGCGTGGATCGTACAAAGCACAGAACCCAACGTACCTACCTAGTAGAGTACACGACGTACGAGCAGCGTCTCGCAAATACGGCCCTGCCGAGCCAGGTTTGATGCAATCTGAGGCCTCCTCCCCCTCCCTGGCAGACGCCGCTGGCTGGACCGTATCGTGTCGTGTCGTGTCCCGTCGGGGGGCACGGCACCTCCCTGCATCTACTTTACCTCAACATGCTGCAGCCCGCCTGCCATCACGGCCTCGCCCCGACCAGCTCTTCTCGTCATCCCCGCCGTCCCGCGCACCGTGGTGGGTATGCGACCGGCCCACCAACGCAGCCGTCAGTGCTGTCTCTCCGACAAACAGGCAGGCCGCGGACAAAGGTGCCGTTATCGCATGCCGCCCCCCGACAAGTCGACGCACCGCCAACCCACCAAGATACTAAGTTACTAGATACCTAGATACAGTACGCGCCCATCGCAGTACGAGCACAATAGCCTTGGGACGGCGACCGCATTTGGACCACGTCGCACCCGCGGGGCATCGGGATCTTGTGTGGCAAAAGGTGGCCGGCCAAGAGCGCTGACGCCGCACCGGCTTTGTCTGATAAGAGAGACGTCGTGCGGAGCGAACAGAAATGTCTCGGGCCTCATCATGTGAGCCCGCAGACGGTCATCCCTGGTCCCCGTCCGACCTCCGTTCCTGGCCCTCGTCGCCCAATGCGCCCATTCGCCGTCTCATGGCTCTGCAGTCGGCGTCTTCAAAAGAGGCCCCTGCTGCCGAATCAACGTTGCACGGCATCTTGCGTCCCTCCGCTTCACTCGTGCTGCACTGCACCTCTTCTCGGGCGTTTTTTTCTGCTCTGGGCAGATCGGCAAAAAGAAAAAAAGGTCCCCTCCACACTCGGCCGGCAACTCGAGCCTTGGATGGCCTGCGTTACGATGTCCAAAGGGACCAACCTGTAACTTAGTTCGCACCAGTCCCGGTCGCGCCTCTTCCCTCCAGTCGCCGTCGAGCTCCAGCCTCACCGCGATCCCCCCCGGGTCCCCGCACGGCCTCGACGATACAGCACATGCCGGCTGGTTCAGCTACGGCGTAAAAGCGCCCCAAGCATGGGCTGGGCGTCTGCGCGGCGGAGACAAGCCAACGCACCACACGACAATGCCTCGCCGTGCCAGAATGCCCGCCGTGTCTCGACGCCTCTCAACAATATCCGGCCACCTCCTGGTTGCTTCGGTCGTGAGGCGTGGTCCCCAGGCACGCGCTTAGCCATTCCTGGATCTTTGTGCGAAGTACGGCACAAGGAGCGCAGCGACTTGATGTCCAGAAGAGTTCAACGGACCATATTTCTTAACACACAGCGCGCTTGCTCGCCCCGGCGGAGCGAAGCCGTCAACCCACCACCACGTCGACACCATGAGTCGCATGCCCGACTATTGAGCCCCCCCGCCATCGCTGGCCTCGTAGTGGCCGCAGCACAGCACACACGACGACGGCGCCATGATGATCTCTCCGCACGACGCACGACTCCTCACCTGATGGTCCCCGGCCCTTGGCTGGCTGACGGGGGCTTCCTTGCGCCGAGCGCCATCACACGATCCGTCATTCTGCCCGCTCGTTACAGCCCGTTTTCGTGACGTGGACGAGAAAGAAAGAAGGGGAGAGGACCATGCGTTTGTAGCAAACACGGTCCGACGACGACCACGACAACGATGACATCGCAGTTTGAAGGCGACCCCGGCGTGTTGGCCAATACGGTAAGTTACCGGTCGACCCATCGTTGGCTTGCCTGCCTCGGCGTGTCCCCGCGCAAGCCCGCATCAGCCAGGCCCGCCGCCCAGCCCGGCCTCGTCGACACGATCTTGCCCCCCTCACCACCAGCTGGCGGGCGGCAGTCGTTCGATTGACTCGTCACCTACAGTCTAGCCGTCGCAAAACGAGCCTAAGAACCAGCAGAGCCAATTGCTCGGTGGCACGCCCGGCAGGGAGAGGCTCGAGTCGTGCACTTGCGTGTGCGAGCCCAAGCTCGCCATGGGGATGGCAGCTCCAGCTCCCCTCCCCACCTTGCCCGCCTCCGTCTGCGTCTTGGAGATGCCCATCTGCGCGAGAGCTGCACCAGAGCTCGAAGCTCCCTTGCGCTCGCCCCGACGAGCGAAGCTTCACCTGGGACCCCGTCGCAACGCAGTCCTAGCCCCGTGCCACCCGTGCCACCCGCAAGCCCCCGCCGGCGCTTGCCCCGCCGCCCGCTGGGACCCGGGCCCCTCGGAGCTCCAATGGGCCACAGGTCCGGAACTTTGCCCCGCCTGGCCTGCCGGCTCCTCGCTTGCTGTGCCCGGCGCTCCGTCGATATTCGCCAGGTCGACCCGTGATTCGTCCGACCTCGACAAGCTTCGGGCCATTGACGCTTCCTTCTTCGCCTACAAGTGAGAGCACGGCACCTTAATGGCACGAGGTGTATAATGCCGTGTTGCTGCAGTAGTACTGAATTTGACTCTCTGCGGCAAATGCTGGTGTGAAGCCGTCTACAAGCCCCGATCCTGGTCGGGCAGGGTCCCTGGCGCTGACGCCTTTGTATTCGTCTTTCTAGCTATACATATTGGAGCGACCAGACACGCCGTACCAGGCCATGGATGTATAACATGTATCAGCAGCGCCCGGCCCTGCTGCCATGCTGGGCCCTGCAACGTCGCGCAAAGTAGACAAGCCAAACGCTTGACCAGATCCTCGTTCGACGACAGACCTTGTTTCATCGTGCGCGGCCATGCCCTCTTAGTCCGAAGACCTCCTCTTGATTGCGCAAGGCCCTGCTTTCAGGCATAAGCGCATGTTCCAGGGCCGCCAGCGCGGGCTGATCAGCTCCGGGGCAGGCATGGCCCTTGTATATTCCACCGCCAAGTAAGTCGGCAGGTGGGCTCCTCGGCACCTTGTAGGCCAACGTTCGAGATCTCTCCCGTGCCGGCCATCGTCGCCAGTCTGTGCGCGGACGGATGCGTCCCGTCCGAGCCTCGCGGCCGCGCTGTGCAGCGAATGCTAAAATGCCCGTTCTTCTCGTCGAGCCCATCCCTGCTCATTTCTTGGGCAGCTTGTACTTGCCGCCGGCCAGCTCTAGCACGCCCGCGGCTACCTTCTCGCCGAGGAATTCCTGCAGCTCTTCGTTGCTCCAAGGGCAGCCATCGGCGATGAGCATCTTCATCATCATGGAAATCTGCCCCAGCGGCATCGCCGGACTCGAGTTGGTCAGCATGCCAACGATGAATTGCCAATAGACGGTGCGGCGTTCCTGCTCCTTGGGGTCTATCGCCTTGCCCTTGCGTGGGGACGGTTGGTTGTCCTCGTCATCGCTGTGCGCGGCTACTTCATCGCCTTCGTGTCTCGTCGCCGCGTTGCCACTGTCGTCAAGCCGTTCAACGACCGCATACGTCTGGTTCCCGACATCGCGCAGTACCTTCTTCGACACCCAAAACTTGAGGGCGAGCTCCAGCAGGTCCTCGTCAATCATGAGCTTCTCCCATATGTCGTTGAACGTGCGCTGTTGGGGACCTGGCGGGCCCGATCCGTCGTCCTGGAACGCATATATGACGGCGGCCTCGTAGGTCTTGCACTCGAGCTCCACGGAACGGTCTTCCAGATCCAGCTGCACGGTAGCTGACCCGAGATGGTCCAGCCAGCTCAGCTTGCGGGATGACTTGAGCTGCTCGAACCCGGCTTCATAGCGTTCCTGGATCGCAGCAATTGGAGGGGGCACTTGGAACCCTTCCTTCGGGAGGCTGGGCCAGAACAGCCGAGAGAGAATCTTGGAATGATACGTTGGCAGGCCTTCCTTCGCGCCATCTCCGGTCCGGAGGCCTTTGCGCAGCGTGGCATCGACGCGTCTGGAGTCGTGTATGTCTTTGATCATGACGTCGCAGTTTTGCAGAGCATTCTCGCCATATCTCTTCTTCAGCAGGCCAAGCACCTTGATTTCCTGTTGAAAGCCGGCCTGACTCGACAGTAAACGCTCGGCAATGATGAGCTGGAACTCCTTAATAAAGATGTCCTGTGACCCGAGGGCGTTGATGAGCGTGCCAATGACGTCTTCGTTCTTGGGTCGCTTGTAGTTGACGCCAGCGTCGACAGGATCGGGCACCCACGACATGTCGTTCCAGTCGAGTTCATAGTCGTCGCTATGAGTCCGCTGCTGCTGCGACGCGTCATTGAGCATCACTGCCAGCTCGACGAGCCTGCGCTTGCCCTCGTCGGTGTTTGCGGCGCTGGGGTTGGAGAGCAAGCCTGTGACGACGATACGGATGGCGTCGTCTCTCTGGCACAAGTAGAGCTGCAACGCGTGTACCACCCTGTCGAGCAAGACCTTCGAAGCATCCAAGGCATGAAATGTCCGAATCATCGAGATGTATGTCTGCAGTATCTCCAACGTGGAACGTCCAGGATGCAGCAAGCGCTTTTGAAGCGTCGCAGAGAAGGTGTCCGTCAGTTGCAGACGCCGTTGAGGGGTAGCTACCGCAGAGCGCAGGTCATCCAGGCCGCCTTTGCTGTCAGGCCAGTGGAGGACAATGTCAAAGAGCTCCTCTATGCGCAAGGTCGCCAGCCGTCCGATTGCAACCTCTCTCCATTGGCTCACGTCGTCCCATGAGACATGGCCACCTATACGGCCGAAGACCTCAACGGCCAGCCGGCCGTAGCAACGCTCGACCCAGTCGCGCAGATGCTCCAGGCAACCAGATACCGCTGGTCCATCTGGGCTCTGTGACGGCTCTCGGGCTGTCCAGACCCGCGAGTATGTTTGATGGACAAAGTCCCGCATGCAGATGTCCATGACTTCGGCGATCAGAACATGAAATTTGTCCCCCGCCAGGCCAACCGTCTTGAGGGACTCCAGGAGGCCTAGCAGCTCCTCGCGGGCAACGGCCGAACGGCGGACATCTTCGGTAGGGGCTGGCTTAGAACCTGATTGCAGCCCGCCGACGTGCAGTATGCTGGCTAGGAGGCGGTACAGCACGCTGCGTAACGCATTTGTCAGACCCGGAGCCCACGAGTTTCCAATAATGGCGTGAAGATCGCGTCTAAATTTGGCCACAGCGGCGGCACGGGCGGCGTCATCGTCGATGCCTCGGACTATGAGTGTCAGCCCATAGAGGTACTGACGGTGGGCAGCCTCGAGGGTCTGTATGCTGCCGAGGAGGATCTGCTGGTTGCCGGCCTGGGCACAGCAAGCAGCTAGAAGAGGCAGGACATGGTGCACAAAATGCTGGCGCACCTGCTGCGTGTGCCAGAGGAGAATGTCTTCGGTGTGCGCAGCACTTGGAGCGGTGGTGCCAGGGTTCAGCAGCAGGGCGAGGGAGTCGTGGAAGGCCCCGTCAAAGTCCTGGGACTCTGGGGCAAGGGTACCGAAGGAGTCCTCGACGGCGACCGAGGATGGGAGCTGGATACGGGAGGTGACGACGTGCCAGGCGCGATCCCAGCGAACCTGATCGCTGATGGGAGGGAGAGGCACCGGCGGTGGTGCGTGAGCGTGAGCTGGCGGGCCGCCAAAGGCCTCTCCAGGTGCTGACGAGGCGAGCAGAGGCGTGGGCTGGGATACATCGGCCTGGAAGACGGAGCGAAAGACCTTGTGCCTGCGGGCGCGCATCGTGGACGCGGTCATGGTCGCCGCCGTTGGCCGAGGGCTCTGGCAGAGCCACCCCCAGCTGCGGCACAGTCCTAGCCGCGGCGATGAGCTGTTGCCGTTCAAGACGGGGTGCTGGAGCGGCAGGTCTCCGTCGCCGAACGCTTTTCCCAGGCCAGGCGTCGGTTGCGGCCTGCACGACCTTGCTGGTGCACGGCAAACCAAACAAAACAAACGGCGTCGGCGGCGAGGGTTGAGGTGCGTGATGTGTGGAGCAGACGGGGTCGTCGGGTGGAAGTGCCAAACAATTGGTGTGGAGCCGCTGCAGCGGGTTGGTGGGATGCGTTCCAGGGCGCGTCCGTCGCCAGAGGGGCGCTAAGCGAGCTCCAGCGCTTGGTGCGCAAGTGAACGGGGTGCTTTGACGCGACACGCGCCCGGTGCCGGCGAGGCCAGTGGACGTCCCCTGTGTGACCGAGCTCACTGCAGGACAGCCCTGGTGCCTTGGGCTGGGGGACGGGTCCACGGCAGCCCTGGTCGCATGCAGGACAGGCCAGGCCAGGGCAGAGGGCGGGCATGGATGAGGCGTGCCGCACCCGCGGGCAGGCCACAGGAATCCTGCGAGGTGCTGTATTTGGTACCGCGTCTGGTAATCTCGGGTCGCTCGACCTGCGCGGGCTGGCTCCAATGCCTCTGCTCGTAGGTGCGTTCTGAGCAGTGAGGTGGAGGGCGGTCAGGGGTCAGGGCTGCCGCCTCTCCCGGGGGGTTGTAACCGCCATCAGTCCACTTTCCATCCAGGTTCACTGCAAGAGGTGCACCTTCCCCTGCCGGGCCCCTGCTGGCGCTGGCGCGCTCCAGCTGGCACAGGGCACCTAGGGACGATGCGGCAGCGCTGAGGTGGAGGAGCGTGAACAGCCCCCCGCCGGCAACGGGAGCTCCCCCCGTCGGTCGCTGCGCTGGGGGCTTCCATCCACTTGAACTTCTGGCCCCCCTTCTCATCAGGCATCCCATCCCAGGCCTCAGATTAACATGGCACCACCACAAGCGGCCAGCCCCCGCGCGCATAACGACGACCCACGGCTGCAGGCGAGCGAGCGAGCAAGCAAGCAAGCAAGCAAGCAAGCAAGCACAGCCCCCTTCCGCTATTGCAGGGAGGTGATATCACAGGCGCGTTGTGGTTTGGTACCGGCGGCGCTTCTCTCTCTGTTGTCGATCCTATCCCTGGCATTCCTCCCAAGACGACGTCGACACGAGCACGCGAACACGTGCGTGTCTGCGTGTCCCCCAGACCGTGGGTGTCGAGGCATGGCAGCGTTGCACTCGCTCCTGTCACGAACAGTGGAGAGATGTGTGCATGATCGCGAGCCCTCGCCTGCCTGCCTGCCTGGGGCAGCTCAGACGTCATTTGTTCCCGCACCGCTCGCTCCCGCGAACCTCTGCCCCAGCACACGGCTCTGCTGTGCTGATGCAGCCAACCAGTAACTTACAGTACTGCCAGCCTGTTTGGGAGAGGTGCCCCATCACCAGAACGACTGCGATCAGCAGCCCACCCCCGTCGTCGTCGGCAGAGTCTCGGCGGGAGCATGCGCGCCATACAGCCAGCGCCAAACCACCCCAAGGCACGGAGACATCAGTCTCCCCGTGGCTTCGGCGTCCCCGTGCGCAGGGATACACCCCCTCGCACGTCCTGGAGCCTCTCGCTCCCCTCGACGTCGAATGCGTATGTACGAGTAGGTACATTCAACGCGCGCAAGAGGGCGTGACTTGGCAGACGCGCAGGACCAGGCACATGGCGCCGGCCGGGAGAGGATGTTGCGGGAATCCATCCCGCTCCCCTGGGTCCAGACGAGCCCCTCCGCCGTCTCCTGGGCCTGACCGGCACTCGGGCGACAATGCGAGTCCCGGGCGAGCGCACACAGGTCGTGTGGTTTGTCCCTCCCGCGACATTCTCGGGAAGATTGATGGACCCGAGACGACGGGGCCTCGTCGGCGCCACCGGGCGAGTGGGCTTGACCTGCTGTCAAGCCAAATTGGCAGCCCACCTGGCCGCCGTCGAGGCCAAAGATGTCATGGATCCTCGCTTCGTCGTCAAGATACCGAACCGCAGCTCTGCCCACCCTTCGTCCCGCCTGCTCCACCCGACCAACCCCCCTTGGGCTTCCCGTCTGTGCCATCCCACATCCCACTCACGCCCCCCCCCTGGAACGACGTCAAGGGGTGTCTCCAGGCTCGCGAGTTCACAAGCGCCTCACAAGCCAGCACCTTTCCCGGCCTGGCATAGGCCACGATTCGACGACCGTGGGGGCAGCTGCCTTTCATCTTCCCACTTTCCTCTCCTACCTAGCGCTGGCCGCAAACAAGCACCACCGCCGTTGCTCCAGCTCTCGAGGCCGGACCAGCTCGTGGCCCCCAAAGCCGTCGATGTGATGCACACCGGCCTGGGACGGTCAGAGTGCGACAGTGAGATTTGGTGGCACCCGAGTCACGAATTTCCGAATGGAGCGGATCGCCCCGACCGATCTGGCAACGCTGGCGTCGCTACCGCGACCTAATCCGTGGAGCCTCGCCAAAGAAAGTGGCATAAATTCACGCCTCACCATGAGCAGGGTCTACGGGTATAGTGCGCAGGACCACGCATGCCACATGCCACCTCTCCTGGACTCCTCACACTGCGCGAGCAGCGCCGTCCGTCCGGTCTTCGAGGACGGGGGGTCTCGTTTCACGGCAGTTGTCTGGACTTGACGTTCCTGCGCCGCGAGATTCCGGCGGTCCCAAGCTTTTGCGCGCCCATGGACGGTGGCAGTGCCTGGCTGGTCCCCCAGGATCCATCGGATCTTTGATGCTACCAGTACGTACCTCGTGGATGAAGTGCTCCGTTTGTTGCGCTCGCTCTCATTGCAGGAATAATATCTGCTTGTCCTCCACTCTCCTGTCCGCGGGCTGGAGACGTGTCTCACCTCTTGATTTCCCTCCTCTCAGCTGTCCTCGACGAAGCACGCACGTCAGGGTCGCACAAAGACGGCGTTGTCTCAAGCCCAGGTCTCGCGCGGCGCCACGGCTTCCAGAACGTTTTGACTGCCCGCGACGGCGGCGCCACACCTTTGCGCCTGGTAGTGCTGACGACGGCTGAGGAAGAAGCTTCGTTTGCTTGCCCCATGGCACCCGCGATCACCCTCCGCCCGCGATCGCCCCCAAGCAGCCTCGGCCCTTCGTGTGAGCCTGTCATAAGCCTAGGGGTGATGCGAGGGTCTGACACGGCCTGACATCTGGCTCGCTCTCTCGATGGACGCAGACAATGGACGCCATCCGGATCTGTCGTGCACCAATATCTCTGGCGCGCGCTAATGTACCTATCCAGGTATCCAGCCAAACCAGTGCTGGATCAGTCAGTCCTCGCCGCAGCCTTCTCCATGAGGCGAATCATTTTCTTGCATCCAGCACGCCGAGGAGGGCAAGAGGGGTCCGGAGCTCGAGCTTGCGGCCACGACTGATCGACCGGGACCCCAAATCGCGCCTGTTCTCGGGATGCCCTGTCTTAGTCAATCGTCCACACCATCAGCCCCGTCGCCCGTCCCCTGGCCTCGCCTGGCCTGGCCTGGCCTGTTGCGCCACGCATGCCATCCACCATGCTAGACAATCGACGTGCTAGCGGGCTCAGTCTTTTGGCCCCCTCCGGGGCAGGCAAGCAGCCGTGGCAGGGCATGGCAGGCAAGGGCGTGCGGGCAGCGAGGACAGGCGCATCACCCGTGCTATTTGCGTCTGGGCTGTGCCGCCCGCGGACGTCGATCAAGCTGGGGGAGACAGGCGTGCCTCATCCACCAACGGATCAGTTGCCATGCGTACAGAGTAGCGCGCGTGCCAACTGGACGTCGAAATGGCCCAATGTTTGGCACTTGTCGAAACCATCTGGGGCATCGGACCACGGGCACACCCCTCTCGCTGGCTTGGCTGGGCTGCTCACCCATCCCACCCCATGGCCCCCTTCCGCCGTCCTCCCGTCTCCGCTTCCGCCGGGATCCCGTCCTCGGCATCTTTCCGACACACGCCCAGCCTGGCCAGCCGGGCGCCCGTTCCCCAGCTGCTGCTAGCTCAATGCTCAATGCTGGCCGGGCCTGCGCCTGCGCCTGCGCCTGTCCGCGCTGGTTTTGGCTTTGGTCTGATCTGGGATCCATCGAAGCAGGTGCACTTGAACAGGGAGACTCGCACCACCACCATCACCGCCGCCACCCTGCTCCTGCCTGCCAGACGTCATGCGCGCGTGTCTGCCGCTCCCTGCGCCGTTGGACCTGACAAAGGTGCACGCTCATGCTATTCGTAGGCAGGCCCGCGCGGGTAGACATCCACCAATCGCGCAGGCAGTGTCGCGCGTTGGGCCATCGTGCAACATGACAAAATACCCGCCGCTTCGGTCCTGCAGTCCCGGCGGCTGTCTGCAGTACTGAGGCATGTTCCCCGTTGGCCTCGCACGCGCCAGCGCAGCGCAGGGCAGCCCAGGCGCTGCTTGGCAGCTCACCGTGGGCCACCGTTTTGCGCGCCGTGGGCCGTGCCATCGGGTGTGCGAAAAAAATATGTGGGGATTGGCTGCTGGAGACGCACTAGCCACCGCGGTTAGCACACGATTGATTGAATACAGTTGTGGCATCCATCGCAGCGTCGTATTCCAGAGTAGGACCAGCGATTTATTGCCAGCCGGACCGCAACAAAACAGAAACCCCCGAGCGTCATGGTCGTCTCGGCACCGGCAAAGAAGAAACTATCGAGCATTTGGCTTTGCGACCCCTCCCAAAGGGACAAAAAAAGAACCAACGCCTCCGTACGCCGTCGTCATCGCGTCGTGTCTGCTGTCAGCGTACATTTGGACAGGTAGAAAGAACACCAGCTCGCTTCCCACAAGAAATCAAAAGATCCACTCCGTCCTCCTTCTCTTGCCGGGGACCATTCCTTCTAACCAGATGCAGACGGTGCGCGATGACCGTATGTCTTGTCTCGGCCCGATGCCTTTCTGAATACAATGCGCCATTCCGTGAAATTCCCAAGGTCCCCAATGATGATGTTGATACAGTGCTAGTGGCGGGTTGGACTTGAAGCAGGCCCGGGGCGTGGGTGAGAAGGCCACCCGTGACATGGATGGCGTGGATGAAACGTAGTTCGGTCAGCGAGACCAAGACACGCTGCTGCAGATCCTGAAGCTTGGGAGACCACCCCGGTCCCCATCGCCGTCGGGACCGAATGCATCGCGGCTGTGCCCCGTCCAAGTGTGAGGCTGACAACCGCGCGCGCGCGAGTGGGCTCTCCCGACCTGCAGCGTTTCATCACGTCTTTCGTCTTTGCTTGCACTTGTCGTGTAACAAGTGTCCGTTGCGCGCCGTCGTTCTCGTAAACTCAGCACCGCAGTTCGGGCACGATGCCTTGGCGGCCTGCCCCGACTTCTCGCGCTGGTGTCGTAGCAGGTTGCTGAATGTGGAAAATTGCCGTCCATTACATCCATGCTCCCAGCATCGAGGCTTTGGTCGGCTCTGAACAACCCGCACGTGGCCACCCTCCTGGCTGGGTTGATTGGTGGGAGGTGGCACCGCAACTGATTGCATCGGGTACATTATCCCCGCGTCTTGCGGTACTGCTATTGAAGAAACCCGCGGGCTAGATACCATACACGTTAGAGAATTCATCATCGAGATCATGGGCAACCCGTGGTACTCACGCAAACTCGCCTGTGTAACTCGGGGGGTACTCCATTGCGACGCCGTAGCCGTGCTGTCTGTCCACAGCTTGTCAGCATCAAAGACGACCTCGAGGGTTCTCACTGTGTGACTCGTCTTACAGAGGTTGATAAGCCGGTGAGAACACATGGTTACTCTGAGACTGGTCTCCTAGGTTCGGGTTGTACGGCTGCAAAAATGGCGCGCTTGCGAGCGTTCCCGCTGGCGTTGCCATCAAGGACATCGAGGACGGGGCTGTGGTGTACACAGGAAGGCTGATGGCATTCGATACCTCGCCCATGGACATTGGTGGCGACGTTGTGTACGAGCTGCTTTCCGCCCGCCGAATTCGAGCAGAGATTTTCGAGTCTCGCCGGACCTGGTCCCTTCGCCGTTTTAGCTCCTGCAGTTCCGGAGTCATGGTCGTCCGAGGAGGGCTCGAGGCGAGGGATTTCGTTTCGCTCGGAGGCGTCATGCTAGGCTCAGATCCACTGATGATTGAGCTCAAATCGGTGCCGAGGATGCTGTTGCTGCTCGTTGAGCCAGAGTCAAGGGGTCCTGCCGTAGCCGTCAACATTCGCGGTTCCGAAGCTATTGGGGTGGTGCAAGCAATGCCTACCTGGCCAAGTGAACGCCGGCCTTGGTCCCATAGTAAACGTCGGGTCAAATGGCATGGCAACGGCACTGCGGTCGGTCAGTCATGCGACCAGAGGTAGCTTTCCGAATGCGATAGCATCGCACCTCATACTTGCAGCGGTCCTGTGCCCAGCTAGTAGAAGTTGGCCACTGCCCAGGAGCAGTCCGTTCGTTCGGATCCCGTGCAGCCCAAAAGCTGGTGCAGAAACCTCCTTTTGTGTTGGGCGTCTCTATCGATGACCACGGGATCTCGCCTTAAAATAGTCAAGCACAGCCTGATGACTGAGTAGAGTGGTGTGGGCAGGTAAGCAGCCTCCGCTGAGAATGGGCGGCAAGCCGGGGTCGGCTTGTGGCGGAGGGAAGTGTATCAGACTTGGGCAAGAGGCGCTGAGTAGGCAAACAACTGTCGATATTGCGGCAGTCCAATGCTGAAGAGCCACGATACCCAACGGCCGGCCTATCAGAATGTGAGCAAGCCCGCTCGTACTGCGTCGCCGGCAACCACATTCCGAATGCCTTCTACAGATCATGCAGTGGACTTACAGGACGGCAGGCGTTAGAGAGACGTACGTTGTTCGAGGCGCCTCAGCTGGCTCCCTCGTGGTTGCTGAAGACTTCAGGGCCGGAGTCAGTTGGGGCGAGATGGATATGGTAATTATATGTATGGCACGTCCTGGTCGGCGGACGAGAGAGTTTGAGTGCCGTCAAGATCTGGTCGAGTCTCGGAACACAATCTGTGCAAACGTTGACAAGAGCCGCGAATCGGAAACAGGGAAGCCCAACTTATATGAGGTAAAGACGGCAAGGAACAGGTGGAGTTCTTCACGGCTTAGTCTTGCACATGTACAAGTGGTAGACGCCCGGGCCATGACGAAGGGGTAGGTAGCGGCACGAAGAGGGACTAAAACTGCCGCCCGAGAAGGTGAGATACAACGACAGGACCATGAGGGTATGGGTCGAGCAGGCTAGGCAGAGTGTGGTTGGGACGGTGGACAAGGGACTGGTATGAACGAGACAAAGTACAGCCTGGACAGGGCCCGTTGAGCTGCAGGCTGGCAAACTGGCAGCAGGGTTGCAGGGGAGGCGATACCCACGGCAGCGATGAAGCCACTGGAGGAGATGGGGGGGAGTATCGTCTTTCGGGGCATGGTCGTCAGCGGGAGTGGGCGTGGGGTGGAGGTACGATACAGTACACCACGGTCTCCCTGCGTCTCTGGCCTCTTGTGCGTGGCGTGAGCGCGATGAGAGCTACCCGGCCCGGAGGGTCGCCGGAACCCAGAGCCCTGGGCCCGTTGTACCGTCCTTGTCGTCTTCCGGGAAATCATCAGCGCGCTACCGCAGGGAGCAGAAGCGGCTAGCACATGTCGCTTGACACTTCGGCCTGCCTGTCCTGTCTGGACGACGTCCACGATGGCGCGGCCGGGGGGAGGGATCGATAGGCTCCAGGCTCCAGGCTCCAGCATTTCCGGCCCATCATGGGTCGCGCTTCTGGCGACAAGGGCGGTGCCAAGGGCATGGTGCTCCAGGAAAACCCAGGAGACCCACGGCGCCGTCCGGCTCGACTAGGGGAAGACGAAGAGGCACAGCAGAAGCCTGAGCTCGCTGAGTGGTGAGTCGAGCACCAAGGCCCAAGTAGGGTGGGTGTGTGCAGTAAAGCCAGGACTGGGGGTGCGACATTCATCGCGGCCCCGAGGTGCGTGAGACGACGAGAGCCGAAAGGTCGACTTCAAACCAAGGCTGGGCTAGTCGGCGCCTCCGCGGGAGGCTAATGTGGTGGCCACACCTGGGGCCACTTGCCAATTCCAAGCTGGGGAGTGAGCTGAGCCACTGAAAATCGGTCAGCTCGCCTTACCTCACTCTTTGTGCTCTCCACTGTCGCCCTCGTGTGGCCACGTCTATTTGAGTTTCTTTGCGGTCGGGCACCAGGGCGTGTGGGTGTGGATGCGAACGACATCGGGGAGCTTCGGCAACGCCCTCGTGCTGTCGTCGTAGCTTTTTGGCAACGGGTTTTCCGTCCATCGCAAGTTTTGGGAATATTGGTGTTTGGCAACCGTGCCTGGGACAATCTCTTTGCACATGGCAGGCTGTCCTGACTGCCACAGCCGGTCGTCGTGCTTCTGGACTGGCACCCGAAACGTGCACAATACTGCTTGTCACGAACAGAGGATTCGTATCCCTGTCGCCTGGTGTCTGATTAGCGCCTCTCTTTGGGGGGGGATGACGACGGGGTGCTGCCGCCGCCGCTGTTGCTGCTGCTCGTAGTGGTGGTGTTCCTGCTTCCTCCTTGCCAGTGGCCACGGCTGGCGTTCCACCATCTCTGCGAGGTCGAGGGGACGGCGACAGTGATCGCACTGTTGGGTAGACTTGCTGGGCGGGGGGGGCGTTGCTACCACATCAAACAATTCGTCAAGTCGCTGTGGAAAGGCAGCCCGGTGACGAGACCATGTGCGTCTGCCAACAATGACGCCGCATGCCGTTCGGTTTGGCAGTGTCGTGGGAGACCAGCCACACGGACCGCAGACAGGCCATGTTGACCACGCCGTTGCCGGCCGGTGCGGTATTCTTCACCACGCTCCGAATGGCCCCTCGTGCGATCTGTGCACTTCCGGCCCCGCGCCTAGTACCACAGCGGACCGGTACGCGAATCTAGTCGTCGTAATGCTGCGGCGCGTCTTCGCTACTGGTCCCTGAAGCCGGGCCCGAAGAGTGTGGGGTTTGGCAGCCCGAGTTGAGAGCAAGAGTCAGGCGGCCATTTGCCCGGAGCAGGGACAGGGTCAGAACGAGACCAGGTTGGCGGGCAGCCTGTCCAGGAACCATGCCAGAGGGTGCCATCGTTGAGCGAGGAACGGATGCGCTGTCGTTCGTTTCCAGATACATACTGACCTCGTGGCAAGTTCCCCACCACGGTCCAGCATATGGTGGCCTGCAGCAACCAAGGTGGGTGGCATCGCGTCGCGAGGACACGCTCTCCTCCGAGTCGGTGGTCTCATGGTGACACAGGGAGAGCAATTGTGGAACCTGTGCAGCCGCGGGCGTTTGAAGACCAGGAAGAAAGAGTCGGCGTATCCGAGAGCTCGCGTGCCCGTTGGCTTGGCCGGCTGTAGCAGCCCGGGCCGCTTACTCAACGGCCGCGCATTTGCGTCCAGCCTGGCGAGACGAGGTCTGAGGTGCGCTGCGACGTGAGGCGAGGAGCGCCGCATGCGTTTCAACGAGAAAACTCCAGTCAGGTCAGGGTTTCTGAGGCCCCGGACGTCTGCAGGTGATGGCAGATTCAGGCGTCCGGTCGGGGGCTGCAATACAAGCGGATGGGGAAACATGTCCGTGGAAACCTGTGTGGCGGTTGCGCCTGCCTCCTCCCTGCCGTTGTTGGCTCATGCGGGAAAGCGCGACCTGCCGCTTCGCTGCGTCTTCCTCCCCATCCGCATATGCCTCCCCCTCCCTACTTCGTGCGAAGTATCCCCCTCCCCTTCCCCCCCTCCCCTGCACCCATCAAGCACTCCCTGCCCGTTGATGTGTGCCGTGTCGTGTCGTCCATATCACCAACAAACCCCGCACCCGCCGTCTTGACATGCACGCGATTGACGGTCCAACCGCTTCTCTGACCTCACTCTTCCTTGACAGGCACCAATCACGCGTTTCGACCCTGCAGCCTCCTCTTATGTGTATTCAGTCCTGGCTCGTCTGCTTCGCACCAACGGCACCGAGTCCGGCCCGGCTCATGCATGGTGAATCACAACTGGGATACCGATAGATAATCGCCTCCGCGCAGCCACGGCCTACCATGGGCTGCCACACCGGCGACACCGGCGACACCGGCGGGTTGGCGGCACCATGTTGTTGGAAGCGAAATGGTCCACATCCTGCAACAGCGCTCGGCCCCGGCTTCGGGACTTTGCTGATGAGTCGCTCGGCTGTTGAAGATTCTCCTCGACCCGCCTGACTATTGCCTCGCGGCCCGTGGGGCGTTCCAGGCAAGACAAGTTGTCGTGGGGTTGGCCGCTGCATGCAGGTACGGGAGTTGGTGAAGAGCAACGGCGGGCAGTCAAAACGCCACCAGCAGGTGGGCATGAGAGCAATGCGTGTCATGCTCGAATGTGCGCCATCACTCAGGCAAAGCAGCTCAAGACTGTGCGAGCAGCGCGGGAGACGGCGTCTAATTGATCCAATCCAGGCACGCAATCGAAGCAAACGCGGCAGAGATTTGTCCAGGCATGGCGGCGGCCGGTGGGGGCCTGGGCTGCCAGGACGCAGAGAGAAGGCCAACAAAAGGTCATTGGCGTGGATCAACAGCCCTAGGGGGATGGCGCCGGACGACAGCCCCAATCGGAAGATACCAAGTCCATCCACGTCGCTTGCCCGGCTATCGCTCGCGGCGCAGTTCACGCTGCGAGACCCCCTTGACCAGGGACTCCTGGTCGACTCGGGGCTGTCCTCCACCAGACTACGCCGTCGCCTGGGCCCAAGCCACAACGCGACGCCTGTCAATAAGGCTGCTGTATATGCTTGGATCTAGTTTCAACCCCAGCATGCCCATCCATCTGCCAATGGTCAACAATGCAATGGACTGCGGGATTGGCGATGGCATACGGAACAAGGGTAGCATGTCGCTTGACGCAGTGTGGTGGCTGTTCCGTACCTCGCCAGGAGCTTTCGCATAGTGCCTCGAAGATATATCCAGCGATTCATGGAGTACAACCGGGGTGGATTCCAGTAACGATGAACATGCCTCGACACAAGACGACGCGAGTCAAAACGGACGATTCGACTGTTAGCGCTGCTGACCAGGCTTCAGACACTGATGCAAGGCGCATCCCCCGTTCCAGCCAGCGGGTCACAAGAGGCAAGGCGGACAGTCAGATACGCCTCCAGATCCCCCGCAGCCCACGCTCGGAAGTTCAGCGAGGCCGTACCGTCAACGGCTCGATGGCCGTCGTCACGTTTGCTCGCCTGTTGTACATGTCGGCACGCTTTCGAGAGCGTTCGGCGGCCAAGCGCGGATAAGAGTCGGGTTCGAGAGCCTGAGGCATGTTCAGCCCAGCTCGGTGGCCCTTGATGTCGACTTTCAGCGGCCAGGCACTCTGCTGCTTCTTCGTCGAGCCCTATGATGGCGTCGCTCTCTTGCGGTGTACGAGCTTTAAACACCCCCGGGTAGCCGCGCGGCACTTGCTGTGTCCCCGTCACAGACCCCGTCTTCCACGATACCCCGCGGCTGGCTGACAGTGTTTACGCTGGAGTAAACCCTTCCAACGCCGCACTAGACAGGCGGGAGCGCTGAATCCTGAAGATCCTTCGCCAGGACACCGATTCTAGCGTAGCCCTACGGACGGAACCCCCACTCAAGCTGTCTGCCCTACGCTCTCCGGGTCCAGGTAAGCAGACATGGCAGAGCAGATTCGTTCTGGCCCACCCCGCCGCGGATTTTGGGAGACTAATTAGCCCAGCCCGCGCCAGCCCGCGCCACCCCACGGCGGGTGACGACACGCCTAGATGCCCGGCGGCGCCAGCAAGGCCGAAACACATCACTGCCGGATTCGAACGTGCCAAGAGACGCGAAGGTTCTCAAGCTGCTTGGCCTGAGACGACTTCAAGCAACCCCCACACGCCCCAGCAACCTGCAGTGCTTGCCTGATGGCTTGCCTGACGCCCACCGATGGCAGATTACGCTTAGCGTGAGCTGTGGCTCTTGGTCGATGCCACGCTTCGGCTCCGAGTGCCCGAGCCCGGGACCTGGCTCTTCTCTGGCTTTGATCCCCCCTGTACGGAGTAGGAGATGTGCGAAGTACTTTGCTCATGTAGAGCATCCACTCGACGTCGCAAATGGGCGGTGGTCGGGCCCACTCCCTCCATGGATGTGCAAGTACACCCCAGGTGAGGCTTTTGGACAAGCTCTGCCACCCGAACTTCGCGCGCAAACCAAGCCTGGCGTCCCGCCTGACCTGCTGCGAATGTTTTGCGCCAATACCGAGCGTCGAATTGTTCTCTTCTCTCTGCCCAAGTGAACTAAGAAGCGTTCCATGTCTTTGCTGTGGGGGCCACCTGCTTTAAATGGCTGGAGCAAAGGTACGTGGAAGGCGTACCCGCGAAATGAGGTGTTTCTATGTTGGTGCTGACGTGCTCACAGTGCCGAGAACTTGCAGAGCAGGCATGGACTGTTTAGATCTGCGAGAAGTCAGCAACCTGCCGATCGATGGAAACGAGATGATGGCAGTGGGCGATGGCAGTGGCCTCCCTGCGACACATTCAAACAACCCAGTGCCTTTCGAATTCCCGTGGCTGACCACTTCCAACAACAGAAGCCCATGATCAACGCATTAGTCAGAGCGGCTTGAGGTTCTAGTCACGGCATTGCCTTGAGAGGCAATGTGGATGTGTCAAGGTGTTGCCCAAATCACCTTGAACGGCAAATGACGTCCTGGTGGCAACAGGCTCCGTACAGAGTCACGAGGCCGGAGGCCGATTCAGTTTGCCTCAGCGCTTCCGCTCTTCGCGCACGTGCGAAAACTCCTCCCCGTGGCTTTGCTTCGTCTGTCTTCGAGGTGTTTACCAGGGATGCCAATCCTCCCACTATCGCCGTGGTGTCCTGACCGGACGATACGTTGGCTCGCTTGCCACACCGCTACCCAACCATCCAGCCTGTAGCTAGAGAATCTCGCCCCCAACTTCCCACACTCCGCGTGAGCTATCCAAGTCGCCTCGGAAGCTTCCCAAGCGGGAATCACATGGTTAACGTCAAGGCAGCACAGCTCCGGCATCAGACTTCGGCAAGCTCGACTTTCGGACTTGGGTATCGTGGACCCACGGCTCCTTCACATCGGCGGTGCCTCGAACGCGGCTTTGAGGGGCCTGGAATGTGCGCAACGTGTAATCGGTTGAAAGAGCCGAGCGGCCCTGGTCCCTTGAAGTGCCTATGAAGCGTAGCCAGAGCGAGGTGTATTGTGTTGTGAGACGCTCAAATGCGAGGGCGTCCAGTCTGTAGGGCAGGCACCATCACTCCGCGAAGGTGGTGAAAACGAAGAGGGGTTGAGGTTATAATTATGCACCGGCTCCGCGGAGTAATGTCTCCGGCCATTCTCAGGGCTCGTGCTCGGCATAGCGAAGAACTATGGAAAGGTGAGGCAGACTTGACGCATGGCTAGACAGTGAAGGCTCAACTGATGATACGCCGCCCTATTAACTGTGGCCTAACGCACTGACTCGTATGGATTAGCACTCGTATCGACGCTTCATCGTACTTTGGAGAGCAACTGACAGTCGGCCAGCCCTGGCTGGTTGGTACAGACTACAAGACCTTGGCTCAGCCGTCAGGGGTCGGCAACTTGAACGCATGACCTGGACGCCAGCGACCTGTTCAGGTATCACCAGAGATTTTCCTGACTGGCCAGAGTGCGTGTGACTATCTTGGGCATCAACGGTCGCACGGGAGTGACGAAAGTGACGCATCTCTGGGGCGTGTTGGGGTTGGTTGGTGAGCCAGGTCCCGACTGATATGAAACTTGGCTAAAAGCTACGCTGTGCATTGATGAATGCCGCGCCGTATCGCGCTGCATAGACATAGGGCGAACCTCCTCCAGTGAATCGCAAGATGACCTGTTCGCGTCGCCATCGTCTCGCAGCGGAGAATGCTGAGCCACTCGATGCGGCACGATGCAGACGGTTGGGCCCTGCGGCTGCATCTCACGACATCCTAGGCCGTGCCGCTTCTTGGTCCTTCGATCCCCGTACCAGTACCGCCTTGATTCGAATGCTGTTGCTGGCCATGGTCCGAAACGAAACGGCCCGGGGACCTCAAGTTGGCCCCCTGGCCGGTGAGAGAGCAGACATGGCAAGCCGTTCCACGGGTGGCCAGCAGCAACCCCTGATGCAGCGTGAGAGGGAACAGGTTTCGGACGCGGCCGCAGTGAAGCTGAGAAGTCTGCCGAGCGTCAACCAAGGCGGGCATGCGCTCTCACGGCACGGGGCTCTTGGCTCCCGCATAGGCGCTAGAATCTCACCCTGCCCCCAAGCTGAGCTGATGCACGGAGGGGGGGGGGGGGCGGTTCCCCAACAGCGTCTTCTCCGGCAAAGGACAGACAGACACATGGCACGCAACGGAAAATAGCACACATGGCCCGCGCGTGGGCGCAAGGTTCCCTTGCCTCGAAAAGCATGCGGCTCGTCTGCGTAGAGCAGTGCGGATCGGCAGTGAGACTGGTCGGCGATGCTGCCTCGAAGGCGCACCGCCTGCTTCGAGGACCCGCTGCCTCTCCATGGCGGGACGGAGGTGATGGCACGCTGCGACCCGCGAGACGCATGTATCAGCACTGACTAACTCGTGCTGCTACTTCTGGACCTCGTCACGGGGCGATGTGGCGATGCTTGCAGTGGGGAGAAGCGAGTTGTCGAACGCACG